TCTCCTGTGGTGTATCATTCACAGCACAATGTCCGAAAAATTGTTGTAAAAGTTCCACATGCAAAAAAATTCTTTTGAAGTCTCATTGTTGCTATAGCGTTGTTTGTAAAATTGCATTTGTTCAAAAATAGATCCTTTTTGATTTTCGTAGCCCACGTATTTCCTATGCATGATGCTTAGTTTAAAGGCACAACGCGTCATTCCATAAAATTGATTACGTAATTGTAAAAGAAATTATTTGGCCCTGTGACTATGTAATAACAAGAGGAGTGAACTGCCGTTGAAAGACTATGCGAGTAAATTGTCTACCGCTGTCGTAAAAGAAAGTGGGAAGTTGTTTGTTAATCAAGAAGAAGACGAACAAGATTGTCAGTACCTGACGGACATCCTAAGAGTTCCATCCTCATAGATATATGGCCACGCCACGTCTTAGGATGCACCCGAATGTAGCGTGCATCTATGGAAGGGTGCAAAACGTTCAAAACCACGGTGTTGCGGTCCGTGTTTCCAGTAAAAACCTGGAGCAGGTAAATGATGGAGAAGTGTTAAGGTTAAGCTAGTTAGTGACTTGTGGAGTGTAACAGTACTGCTAAGTTTTGAATGTGGGCCTTAGATTTTAGACACTTTCATGTTAGTGAGTCGAGATTTAATCAGTCATTTGCTAGAGTTTCTCTTGCTACAATATTAACGTTTTTCCATACCTTGCTGTTCTGATAAGATGTATAGGTGGTGCCGTCGCTGCTGTAGGAGATAGTAAAGCTCGTAACCCATTGATCCGCTTCTTGTCGTCCCTGGATCTGTATCCCTGTCACCTCGGTTTTAGCTCCAAGATCCACTTGTAGCCACTGATGAACGTCATTTGTGCGGGCTGACCATGCGCCAGTCTTACCCCCTCCAGCCTTGAAATTGAGTCTGCCATTGGTGGCGCCGTGTGCAGAGTTGAATTCGGTTGAAGCTTTGATCTGGCCATCAGTTATTTTTCTGCTCTCCATCCCGAGGGGGTTGAAACATGCTATGCACAGAGAAGACATTATTATTTTAAGGGACAATAGTGGAAGTTTAAGCTAATTGTTTTTGAGCGGATGCGTGTGTTGAGTATATGTGGTAGTGTCAAGTTTCGAAAGAATTAGCCCTTTTTTCTTGCTGAGGGAGAGTGTTTTACAAGGTTATAATGATAGCTGATTTTTGGACTTGAATTTGGATGCCTACTTTTTTATGTTTTTGGCGTATTTTTCATATCACGGTGTAGAAAAGTCACCGAAAGTTTAAGACCTCACGTAAAACACAGTTCAGTATTGTTGCTGAAGGGTTGTTTGTAAAATTGCATGAGTTTGTAAGTAATTCCCTTTTAATTTTTGAAGCCCCTATCTTTTGTAATTATGATAAGGTAAGGGGATAATAGGTTTTGCTGTCAAATTGATTGCATATTCGGCTCTTTGAATTGTCCAAGACCATTAAGACCGAACTGTAGTTGAATGAGTGTGCGAGGAGATAGTTTTGCGCTTTTGTAGATTAAGTGGAAACCAGTTAGTTTTTTTGAAAAGAAAATAAAAACGGAAATATTAGTACCTGACGGACATCCTAAAAGTTCCATCCTCATAGATATATGGCTATTCCACGTCTTAGGATGCACCCGAATGTAGCGTGCATCTATGGAAGGGTGCAAAACGTTCAAAACCACGGTGTTGCGGTCTGTGTTTCCATTAAAAACCTGGAGCAGGTAAATGATGGAGAAGTGTTAAGGTTAAACTAGTTAGTGACTTGTGGAGTGTAACAGTGGTGCTAAGTTTTTTCTTAAGGTGGGCCTGAGATTTGAGACAATTTCATGTCAGTGAGTCGAGATTTAATTAGTCATTTGCTTAAGTTTCACTTGCTACAATTTTATTTTTTTCCATACCTTGCTGTTCTGATAAGATGTGTAGGTGGTGCCGTCGCTGCTGTAGGAGATAGTAAAGCTCGTAACCCATTGATACGCTTCTTGTCGTCCCTGGATCTGTATCCCTGTCACCTCGGTTTTAGCTCCAAGATCCACTTGTAGCCACTGATGAACGTCATTTGTGCGGGCGGACCACGCGCCAGTCTTACCCCCTCCAGCCTTGAAATTGAGTCTGCCATTGGTGGCGCCGTGTGCAGAGTTGAATTCGGTTGAAGCTTTGATCTGGCCATCAGTTATTTTTCTGCTCTCCATCCCGAGGGGGTTGAAACATGCTATGCACAGAGAAGACATTATTATTTTAAGGGACAATAGTGGAAGTTTAAGCTAATTGTTTTTGAGCGGATGCGTGTGTTGAGTATATGTGGTAGTGTCAAGTTTCGAAAGAATTAGCCCTTTTTTCTTGCTGAGGGAGAATGTTTTACAAGGTTATAATGATAGCTGATTTTTGGACTTGAATTTGGATGCCTACTTGTTTATGTTTTTGGCGTATTTTTCATATCACGGTGTAGAAAAGTCACCGAAAGTTTAAGACCTCACTTAAAACACAGTTCAGTATTGTTGCTGAAGGGTTGTTTGTAAAATTTCATGAGTTTTTGAGTAATTCCCTTTTAATTTTTGAAGACCCTATCTTTTGTAATTATGATAAGGTAAGGGGATAATAGGTTTTGCTGTCAAATTGATTGCATATTCGGCTCTTTGAATTGTCCAAGACCATTAAGACCGAACTGTAGTTGAATGAGTGTGCGAGGAGATAGTTTTGCGCTTTTGTAGATTAAGTGGAAACCAGTTAGTTTTTTTGAAAAGAAAATAAAAACGGAAATATTAGTACCTGACGGACATCCTAAAAGTTCCATCCTCATAGATATATGGCCATTCCACGTCTTAGGATGCACCCGAATGTAGCGTGCATCTATGGAAGGGTGCAAAACGTTCAAAACCACGGTGTTGCGGTCCGTGTTTCCAGTAAAAACCTGGAGCAGGTAAACGATGGAGAAGTGTTAAGGTTAAACTAGTTAGTGACTTGTGGAGTGTAACAGTACTGCTAAGTTTTTTTTTTAATGTGGGCCTGAGATTTGAGACAATTTCATGTCAGTGAGTCGACATTTAATTAGTCATTTGCTTAAGTTTCTCTTGCTACAATTTCATTTTTTTCCATACCTTGCTGTTCTGATAAGATGTATACGTGGTGCCGTCGCTGCTGTAGGAGATAGTAAAGCTCGTAACCCATTGATCCGCTTCTTGTCGTCCCTGGATCTGTATTCCTGTCACCTCGGTTTTAGCTCCAAGATCCACTTGTAGCCACTGATGAACGTCATTTGTGCGGGCGGACCACGCGTCAGTCTTACCCCCTCCAGCCTTGAAATTGAGTCTGCCATTGGTGGCGCCGTGTGCAGAGTTGAATTCGGTTGAAGCTTGGATCTGGCCATCAGTTATTTTTCTGCTCTCCATCCCGAGGGGGTTGAAACATGCTATGCACAGAGAAGACATTATTATTTTAAGGGACAATAGTGGAAGTTTAAGCTAATTGTTTTTGAGCGGATGCGTGTGTTGAGTATATGTGGTAGTGTCAAGTTTCGAAAGAATTAGCCCTTTTTTCTTGCTGAGGGAGAATGTTTTACAAGGTTATAATGATAGCTGATTTTTGGACTTGAATTTGGATGCCTACTTGTTTATGTTTTTGGCGTATTTTTCATATCACGGTGTAGAAAAGTCACCGAAAGTTTAAGACTTCACTTAAAACACAGTTCAGTATTGTTGCTGAAGGGTTGTTTGTAAAATTTCATGAGTTTTTGAGTAATTCCCTTTTAATTTTTGAAGACCCTATCTTTTGTAATTATGATAAGGTAAGGGGATAATAGGTTTTGCTGTCAAATTGATTGCATATTCGGCTCTTTGAATTGTCCAAGACCATTAAGACCGAACTGTAGTTGAATGAGTGTGCGAGGAGATAGTTTTGCGCTTTTGTAGATTAAGTGGAAACCAGTTAGTTTTTTTGAAAAGAAAATAAAAACGGAAATATTAGTACCTGACGGACATCCTAAAAGTTCCATCCTCATAGATATATGGCTATTCCACGTCTTAGGATTCACCCGAATGTAGCGTGCATCTATGGAAGGGTTCAAAACGTTCAAAACCACGGTGTTGCGGTCCGTGTTTCCAGTAAAATCCTGGAGCAGGTAAATGATGGAGAAGTGTTAAGGTTAAACTAGTTAGTGACTTGTGGAGTGTAACAGTACTGCTAAGTTTTTTTTTAATGTGGGCCTGAGATTTGAGACAATTTCATGTCAGTGAGTCGACATTTAATTAGTCATTTGCTTAAGTTTCTCTTGCTACAATTTCATTTTTTTCCATACCTTGCTGTTCTGATAAGATGTATACGTGGTGCCGTCGCTGCTGTAGGAGATAGTAAAGCTCGTAACCCATTGATACGCTTCTTGTCGTCCCTGGATCTGTATTCCTGTCACCTCGGTTTTAGCTCCAAGATCCACTTGTAGCCACTGATGAACGTCATTTGTGCGGGCGGACCACGCGCCAGTCTTACCCCCTCCAGCCTTGAAATTGAGTCTGCCATTGGTGGCGCCGTGTGCAGAGTTGAATTCGGTTGAAGCTTGGATCTGGCCATCAGTTATTTTTCTGCTCTCCATCCCGAGGGGATTGAAACATGCTATGCACAGAGAAGACATTATTATTTTAAGGGACAATAGTGGAAGTTTAAGCTAATTGTTTTTGAGCGGATGCGTGTGTTGAGTATATGTGGTAGGGTCAAGTGTCGAAAGAATTAGCCCTTTTTTCTTGCTGAGGGAGAGTGTTTTACAAGGTTATAATGATAGCTGATTTTTGGACTTGAATTTGGATGCCTACTTTTTTATGTTTTTGGCGTATTTTTCATATCACGGTGTAGAAAAGTCACCGAAAGTTTAAGACCTCACGTAAAACACAGTTCAGTATTGTTGCTGAAGGGTTGTTTGTAAAATTGCATGAGTTTGTAAGTAATTCCCTTTTAATTTTTGAAGCCCCTATCTTTTGTAATTATGATAAGGTAAGGGGATAATAGGTTTTGCTGTCAAATTGATTGCATATTCGGCTCTTTGAATTGTCCAAGACCATTAAGACCGAACTGTAGTTGAATGAGTGTGCGAGGAGATAGTTTTGCGCTTTTGTAGATTAAGTGGAAACCAGTTAGTTTTTTTGAAAAGAAAATAAAAACGGAAATATTAGTACCTGACGGACATCCTAAAAGTTCCATCCTCATAGATATATGGCTATTCCACGTCTTAGGATTCACCCGAATGTAGCGTGCATCTATGGAAGGGTGCAAAACGTTCAAAACCACGGTGTTGCGGTCCGTGTTTCCAGTAAAATCCTGGAGCAGGTAAATGATGGAGAAGTGTTAAGGTTAAACTAGTTAGTGACTTGTGGAGTGTAACAGTACTGCTAAGTTTTTTTTTAATGTGGGCCTGAGATTTGAGACAATTTCATGTCAGTGAGTCGACATTTAATTAGTCATTTGCTTAAGTTTCTCTTGCTACAATTTCATTTTTTTTCCATACCTTGCTGTTCTGATAAGATGTATAGGTGGTGCCGTCGCTGCTGTAGGAGATAGTAAAGCTCGTAACCCATTGATACGCTTCTTGTCGTCCCTGGATCTGTATTCCTGTCACCTCGGTTTTAGCTCCAAGATCCACTTGTAGCCACTGATGAACGTCATTTGTGCGGGCGGACCACGCGCCAGTCTTACCCCCTCCAGCCTTGAAATTGAGTCTGCCATTGGTGGCGCCGTGTGCAGAGTTGAATTCGGTTGAAGCTTGGATCTGGCCATCAGTTATTTTTGCTCTCCATCCCGAGGGGATTGAAACATGCTATGCACAGAGAAGACATTATTATTTTAAGGGACAATAGTGGAAGTTTAAGCTAATTGTTTTTGAGCGGATGCGTGTGTTGAGTATATGTGGTAGGGTCAAGTGTCGAAAGAATTAGCCTTTTTTTCTTGCTGAGGAGAGTGTTTTACAAGGTTATAATGATAGCTGATTTTTGGACTTGAATTTGGATGCCTACTTTTTTATGTTTTTGGCGTATTTTTTCATATCACGGTGTAGAAAAGTCACCGAAAGTTTAAGACCTCACGTAAAACACAGTTCAGTATTGTTGCTGAAGGGTTGTTTGTAAAATTGCATGAGTTTGTAAGTAATTCCCTTTTAATTTTTGAAGCCCCTATCTTTTGTAATTATGATAAGGTAAGGGGATAATAGGTTTTGCTGTCAAATTGATTGCATATTCGGCTCTTTGAATTGTCCAAGACCATTAAGACCGAACTGTAGTTGAATGAGTGTGCGAGGAGATAGTTTTGCGCTTTTGTAGATTAAGTGGAAACCAGTTAGTTTTTTTGAAAAGAAAATAAAAACGGAAATATTAGTACCTGACGGACATCCTAAAAGTTCCATCCTCATAGATATATGGCTATTCCACGTCTTAGGATTCACCCGAATGTAGCGTGCATCTATGGAAGGGTGCAAAACGTTCAAAACCACGGTGTTGCGGTCCGTGTTTCCAGTAAAATCCTGGAGCAGGTAAATGATGGAGAAGTGTTAAGGTTAAACTAGTTAGTGACTTGTGGAGTGTAACAGTACTGCTAAGTTTTTTTTTAATGTGGGCCTGAGATTTGAGACAATTTCATGTCAGTGAGTCGACATTTAATTAGTCATTTGCTTAAGTTTCTCTTGCTACAATTTCATTTTTTTCCATACCTTGCTGTTCTGATAAGATGTATAGGTGGTGCCGTCGCTGCTGTAGGAGATAGTAAAGCTCGTAACCCATTGATACGCTTCTTGTCGTCCCTGGATCTGTATTCCTGTCACCTCGGTTTTAGCTCCAAGATCCACTTGTAGCCACTGATGAACGTCATTTGTGCGGGCGGACCACGCGCCAGTCTTACCCCCTCCAGCCTTGAAATTGAGTCTGCCATTGGTGGCGCCGTGTGCAGAGTTGAATTCGGTTGAAGCTTGGATCTGGCCATCAGTTATTTTTCTGCTCTCCATCCCGAGGGGATTGAAACATGCTATGCACAGAGAAGACATTATTATTTTAAGGGACAATAGTGGAAGTTTAAGCTAATTGTTTTGAGCGGATGCGTGTGTTGAGTATATGTGGTAGGGTCAAGTGTCGAAAGAATTAGCTTTTTTTTTTCTTGCTGAGGAGAGTGTTTTACAAGGTTATAATGATAGCTGATTTTTGGACTTGAATTTGGATGCCTACTTTTTATGTTTTTGGCGTATTTTTCATATCACGGTGTAGAAAAGTCACCGAAAGTTTAAGACCTCACGTAAAACACAGTTCAGTATTGTTGCTGAAGGGTTGTTTGTAAAATTGCATGAGTTTGTAAGTAATTCCCTTTTAATTTTTGAAGCCCCTATCTTTTGTAATTATGATAAGGTAAGGGGATAATAGGTTTTGCTGTCAAATTGATTGCATATTCGGCTCTTTGAATTGTCCAAGACCATTAAGACCGAACTGTAGTTGAATGAGTGTGCGAGGAGATAGTTTTGCGCTTTTGTAGATTAAGTGGAAACCAGTTAGTTTTTTTGAAAAGAAAATAAAAACGGAAATATTAGTACCTGACGGACATCCTAAAAGTTCCATCCTCATAGATATATGGCTATTCCACGTCTTAGGATTCACCCGAATGTAGCGTGCATCTATGGAAGGGTGCAAAACGTTCAAAACCACGGTGTTGCGGTCCGTGTTTCCAGTAAAAACCTGGAGCAGGTAAATGATGGAGAAGTGTTAAGGTTAAACTAGTTAGTGACTTGTGGAGTGTAACAGTACTAAGTTTTTTTTTTTTTTTTAATGTGGGCCTGAGATTTGAGACAATTTCATGTCAGTGAGTCGACATTTAATTAGTCATTTGCTTAAGTTTCTCTTGCTACAATTTCATTTTTTTCCATACCTTGCTGTTCTGATAAGATGTATACGTGGTGCCGTCGCTGCTGTAGGAGATAGTAAAGCTCGTAACCCATTGATACGCTTCTTGTCGTCCCTGGATCTGTATTCCTGTCACCTCGGTTTTAGCTCCAAGATCCACTTGTAGCCACTGATGAACGTCATTTGTGCGGGCGGACCACGCGCCAGTCTTACGCCCTCCAGCCTTGAAATTGAGTCTGCCATTGGTGGCGCCGTGTGCAGAGTTGAATTCGGTTGAAGCTTGGATCTGGCCATCAGTTATTTTTCTGCTCTCCATCCCGAGGGGATTGAAACATGCTATGCACAGAGAAGACATTATTATTTTAAGGGACAATAGTGGAAGTTTAAGCTAATTGTTTTTGAGCGGATGCGTGTGTTGAGTATATGTGGTAGGGTCAAGTGTCGAAAGAATTAGCCCTTTTTTCTTGCTGAGGGAGAGTGTTTTACAAGGTTATAATGATAGCTGATTTTTGGACTTGAATTTGGATGCCTACTTTTTTATGTTTTTGGCGTATTTTTCATATCACGGTGTAGAAAAGTCACCGAAAGTTTAAGACCTCACGTAAAACACAGTTCAGTATTGTTGCTGAAGGGTTGTTTGTAAAATTGCATGAGTTTGTAAGTAATTCCCTTTTAATTTTTGAAGCCCCTATCTTTTGTAATTATGATAAGGTAAGGGGATAATAGGTTTTGCTGTCAAATTGATTGCATATTCGGCTCTTTGAATTGTCCAAGACCATTAAGACCGAACTGTAGTTGAATGAGTGTGCGAGGAGATAGTTTTGCGCTTTTGTAGATTAAGTGGAAACCAGTTAGTTTTTTTGAAAAGAAAATAAAAACGGAAATATTAGTACCTGACGGACATCCTAAAAGTTCCATCCTCATAGATATATGGCTATTCCACGTCTTAGGATTCACCCGAATGTAGCGTGCATCTATGGAAGGGTGCAAAACGTTCAAAACCACGGTGTTGCGGTCCGTGTTTCCAGTAAAAACCTGGAGCAGGTAAACGATGGGAAGTGTTAAGGTTAAACTAGTTAGTGACTTGTGGAGTGTAACAGTACTGCTAAGTTTTTTTTTTAATGTGGGCCTGAGATTTGAGACAATTTCATGTCAGTGAGTCGACATTTAATTAGTCATTTGCTTAAGTTTCTCTTGCTACAATTTCATTTTTTTCCATACCTTGCTGTTCTGATAAGATGTATACGTGGTGCCGTCGCTGCTGTAGGAGATAGTAAAGCTCGTAACCCATTGATACGCTTCTTGTCGTCCCTGGATCTGTATTCCTGTCACCTCGGTTTTAGCTCCAAGATCCACTTGTAGCCACTGATGAACGTCATTTGTGCGGGCGGACCACGCGCCAGTCTTACCCCCTCCAGCCTTGAAATTGAGTCTGCCATTGGTGGCGCCGTGTGCAGAGTTGAATTCGGTTGAAGCTTGGATCTGACCATCAGTTATTTTTCTGCTCTCCATCCCGAGGGGATTGAAACATGCTATGCACAGAGAAGACATTATTATTTTAAGGGACAATAGTGGAAGTTTAAGCTAATTGTTTTTGAGCGGATGCGTGTGTTGAGTATATGTGGTAGGGTCAAGTGTCGAAAGAATTAGCCCTTTTTTCTTGCTGAGGGAGAGTGTTTTACAAGGTTATAATGATAGCTGATTTTTGGACTTGAATTTGGATGCCTACTTTTTTATGTTTTTGGCGTATTTTTCATATCACGGTGTAGAAAAGTCACCGAAAGTTTAAGACCTCACGTAAAAACACAGTTCAGTATTGTTGCTGAAGGGTTGTTTGTAAAATTGCATGAGTTTGTAAGTAATTCCCTTTTAATTTTTGAAGCCCCTATCTTTTGTAATTATGATAAGGTAAGGGGATAATAGGTTTTGCTGTCAAATTGATTGCATATTCGGCTCTTTGAATTGTCCAAGACCATTAAGACCGAACTGTAGTTGAATGAGTGTGCGAGGAGATAGTTTTGCGCTTTTGTAGATTAAGTGGAAACCAGTTAGTTTTTTTTTTTGAAAAGAAAATAAAAACGGAAATATTAGTACCTGACGGACATCCTAAAAGTTCCATCCTCATAGATATATGGCTATTCCACGTCTTAGGATTCACCCGAATGTAGCGTGCATCTATGGAAGGGTGCAAAACGTTCAAAACCACGGTGTTGCGGTCCGTGTTTCCAGTAAAAACCTGGAGCAGGTAAATGATGGAGAAGTGTTAAGGTTAAACTAGTTAGTGACTTGTGGAGTGTAACAGTACTGCTAAGTTTTTTTTTTAATGTGGGCCTGAGATTTGAGACAATTTCATGTCAGTGAGTCGACATTTAATTAGTCATTTGCTTAAGTTTCTCTTGCTACAATTTCATTTTTTTCCATACCTTGCTGTTCTGATAAGATGTATACGTGGTGCCGTCGCTGCTGTAGGAGATAGTAAAGCTCGTAACCCATTGATACGCTTCTTGTCGTCCCTGGATCTGTATTCCTGTCACCTCGGTTTTAGCTCCAAGATCCACTTGTAGCCACTGATGAACGTCATTTGTGCGGGCGGACCACGCGCCAGTCTTACGCCCTCCAGCCTTGAAATTGAGTCTGCCATTGGTGGCGCCGTGTGCAGAGTTGAATTCGGTTGAAGCTTGGATCTGGCCATCAGTTATTTTTCTGCTCTCCATCCCGAGGGGATTGAAACATGCTATGCACAGAGAAGACATTATTATTTTAAGGGACAATAGTGGAAGTTTAAGCTAATTGTTTTTGAGCGGATGCGTGTGTTGAGTATATGTGGTAGGGTCAAGTGTCGAAAGAATTAGCCCTTTTTTTCTTGCTGAGGGAGAGTGTTTTACAAGGTTATAATGATAGCTGATTTTTGGACTTGAATTTGGATGCCTACTTTTTTATGTTTTGGCGTATTTTTCATATCACGGTGTAGAAAAGTCACCGAAAGTTTAAGACCTCACGTAAAACACAGTTCAGTATTGTTGCTGAAGGGTTGTTTGTAAAATTGCATGAGTTTGTAAGTAATTCCCTTTTAATTTTTGAAGCCCCTATCTTTTGTAATTATGATAAGGTAAGGGGATAATAGGTTTTGCTGTCAAATTGATTGCATATTCGGCTCTTTGAATTGTCCAAGACCATTAAGACCGAACTGTAGTTGAATGAGTGTGCGAGGAGATAGTTTTGCGCTTTTGTAGATTAAGTGGAAACCAGTTAGTTTTTTTGAAAAGAAAATAAAAACGGAAATATTAGTACCTGACGGACATCCTAAAAGTTCCATCCTCATAGATATATGGCTATTCCACGTCTTAGGATGCACCCGAATGTAGCGTGCATCTATGGAAGGGTGCAAAACGTTCAAAACCACGGTGTTGCGGTCCGTGTTTCCAGTAAAAACCTGGAGCAGGTAAATGATGGAGAAGTGTTAAGGTTAAACTAGTTAGTGACTTGTGGAGTGTAACAGTACTGCTAAGTTTTTTTTTTATTGTGGGCCTGAGATTTGAGACAATTTCATGTCAGTGAGTCGAGATTTAATTAGTCATTTGCTTAAGTTTCCCTTGCTACAATTTCATTTTTTTTCCATACCTTGCTGTTCTGATAAGATGTATACGTGGTGCCGTCGCTGCTGTAGGAGATAGTAAAGCTCGTAACCCATTGATACGCTTCTTGTCGTCCCTGGATCTGTATCCCTGTCACCTCGGTTTTAGCTCCAAGATCCACCTGTAGCCACTGATGAACGTCATTTGTGCGGGCTGACCATGCGCCAGTCTTACCCCCTCCAGCCTTGAAATTGAGTCTGCCATTGGTGGCGCCGTGTGCAGAGTTGAATTCGGTTGAAGCTTTGATCTGGCCATCAGTTATTTTTCTGCTCTCCATCCCGAGGGGGTTGAAACATGCTATGCACAGAGAAGACATTATTATTTTAAGGGACAATAGTGGAAGTTTAAGCTAATTGTTTTTGAGCGGATGCGTGTGTTGAGTATATGTGGTAGGGTCAAGTGTCGAAAGAATTAGCCCTTTTTTCTTGCTGAGGGAGAGTGTTTTACAAGGTTATAATGATAGCTGATTTTTGGACTTGAATTTGGATGCCTACTTTTTTATGTTTTTGGCGTATTTTTCATATCACGGTGTAGAAAAGTCACCGAAAGTTTAAGACCTCACGTAAAACACAGTTCAGTATTGTTGCTGAAGGGTTGTTTGTAAAATTGCATGAGTTTGTAAGTAATTCCCTTTTAATTTTTGAAGCCCCTATCTTTTGTAATTATGATAAGGTAAGGGGATAATAGGTTTTGCTGTCAAATTGATTGCATATTCGGCTCTTTGAATTGTCCAAGACCATTAAGACCGAACTGTAGTTGAATGAGTGTGCGAGGAGATAGTTTTGCGCTTTTGTAGATTAAGTGGAAACCAGTTAGTTTTTTTGAAAAGAAAATAAAAACGGAAATATTAGTACCTGACGGACATCCTAAAAGTTCCATCCTCATAGATATATGGCTATTCCACGTCTTAGGATGCACCCGAATGTAGCGTGCATCTATGGAAGGGTGCAAAACGTTCAAAACCACGGTGTTGCGGTCCGTGTTTCCAGTAAAAACCTGGAGCAGGTAAATGATGGAGAAGTGTTAAGGTTAAACTAGTTAGTGACTTGTGGAGTGTAACAGTACTGCTAAGTTTTTTTTTTAATGTGGGCCTGAGATTTGAGACAATTTCATGTCAGTGAGTCGACATTTAATTAGTCATTTGCTTAAGTTTCTCTTGCTACAATTTCATTTTTTTCCATACCTTGCTGTTCTGATAAGATGTATAGGTGGTGCCGTCGCTGCTGTAGGAGATAGTAAAGCTCGTAACCCATTGATACGCTTCTTGTCGTCCCTGGATCTGTATCCCTGTCACCTCGGTTTTAGCTCCAAGATCCACTTGTAGCCACTGATGAACGTCATTTGTGCGGGCTGACCATGCGCCAGTCTTACCCCCTCCAGCCTTGAAATTGAGTCTGCCATTGGTGGCGCCGTGTGCAGAGTTGAATTCGGTTGAAGCTTGGATCTGGCCATCAGTTATTTTTCTGCTCTCCATCCCGAGGGGATTGAAACATGCTATGCACAGAGAAGACATTATTATTTTAAGGGACAATAGTGGAAGTTTAAGCTAATTGTTTTTGAGCGGATGCGTGTGTTGAGTATATGTGGTAGGGTCAAGTGTCGAAAGAATTAGCCCTTTTTTCTTGCTGAGGGAGAGTGTTTTACAAGGTTATAATGATAGCTGATTTTTGGACTTGAATTTGGATGCCTACTTGTTTATGTTTTTGGCGTATTTTTCATATCACGGTGTAGAAAAGTCACCGAAAGTTTAAGACTTCACTTAAAACACAGTTCAGTATTGTTGCTGAAGGGTTGTTTGTAAAATTGCATGAGTTTGTAAGTAATTCCCTTTTAATTTTTGAAGCCCCTATCTTTTGTAATTATGATAAGGTAAGGGGATAATAGGTTTTGCTGTCAAATTGATTGCATATTCGGCTCTTTGAATTGTCCAAGACCATTAAGACCGAACTGTAGTTGAATGAGTGTGCGAGGACATAGTTTTGCGCTTTTGTAGATTAAGTGGAAACCAGTTTGTTTATTGCAAAGAAAATAAAAACGAAAATATTAGTACCTGACGGACATCCTAAAAGTTCCATCCTCATAGATATATGGCCACGCCACGTCTTAGGATGCACCCGAATGTAGCGTGCATCTATGGAAGGGTGCAAAACGTTCAAAACCACGGTGTTGCGGTCTGTGTTTCCATTAAAAACCTGGAGCAGGGAAATGATGGAGAAGTGTTAAGGTTAAGGTGGCTCCGTAATTAATACAAGAGCATTTAACTGTGACAAATTTTCCGTCATAACTTTTTGGTTTTTAACGCGATGGCTGCGAAACTTTGCAATTAACAACAGATATCATTCGGTAATAACACAAAATATTCCGATTTCACTGATGGTAAATATTTCTTGAGAAATTAGTGCTTAAAAAGACCCTACTGTTCAAAGAAAATCGCGTCTAGTAAAAAATTTTGCTGATATTTTTTACTGAAATTTCTGGTATCGACTTTAATTGATATAATAAATATGCCAGAGGAATTTCAGAAAAATCGTTGCAGCAGAAGTCCGTAACTAAAAGCCGGTCAAAATTCAGCTGTGAAATTGTTTTGGAATTTCAAAAATAAATTACTATCAGGTAGAAGGAGCCACCAGTTTGAATTTTCGGGACAAGTAAATTCAACGCTTGCTAATTCTTAAAGCAAAAGCCGATTGCCTATCGTGCTATTCTTTGAAAGGTACTTTTTAGTTTTAGAAGAACTATAAATTGCTCCAAACCTTGCTCTGAAGTAGAATGACTTGTTCGTCAACAGTTTTAAAATATCCCTTGGCAATTTTGGCTCAAACTCCTGCTGCATACATTTTGATGTATTGCCATGCATTTTCAACGACTTTTACTGCCGTTCGTTGCTTCCAACTCAGGAAAAAAGAATTGAGATTGGACGCTACCTCGTATCAGAGCTCAGAAAGAACTGTCCAGCACCTTTGTTTATGACTACAAAATGAGCACGAGCGGCAGTTCTGCGTGGAATTCGCACCTCACCCAGGGGGGACGAACGACAATGATGACCATGCTTGTGAACCAAATAACATCACAGTGCAAAATAAAATTATCGCAAAAATACTACCCGTGAATAAATTTACAACTTTTTGTCACTCCTTCCTTCAATGAATGGGTATTTTTTTCTTGATTATTATGTTTTGCTCTGCAATTATACATGTTTATACAGATCGGCTCACAGACATGGGCATCATTGTCACTCGTCCCCCCTGGTTGAGGTGCGAATTCCTCGCAGAGCTGCCGCTCGTGCTCATTTTCTGGTCATAAACAAAGGTACTGGACAGTTCTATCTGAGCTTCGATACTAGGTAGCTTACAATCCCAATACCTTTTTCCTGAATTGGAAACAACGTAAAGTAGGAAAAGCCGTTGGGGATGCTTTGCAATACATCAAAATGTATGTAGCAGGAGTTTAAACCAAAACTGCCAAGGGATATTTTAAAAATGTCGAGGAACAAGTCATTCGATGTCAGAGCAAAGTTTGGAGCAATTTATAGTGCTTCTAAAACTGAAAAGTACCTTTTAAAGAATAGCACGATAGGCAATCGGCTTCTGTTTTCAAAATTAGGAAACACACTGAAGTTGCTTGTCCCGAAAATTGAAACTGGTGTCTCCTTCTTCCTGATAGTAATTTATTTTTGAAATTCCAAAACAATTTCACAGCTGAATTTTGACCGACTTTTAGTTACGGACTTCTGCTCCAACGATTTTTCTGAAATTCCTCTGGCATATTTATTATATCAATTAAGGCCGATACCAGAAATTTCAGTAAAACATATATGCAAAATTTTTTACTAGACGCGATTTTCTTTGAACAGTAGGGTCCTTTTAAGCGCTAATTTCTCAAGAAATACTTACCATCAATGAAATCGGAATATTTCGTATTATTGCCGACTGATATCTGTTCTTAATTGCAAAGTTTCGCAGCCATCGCGTTAAAATCGAAAAAGTTATGACGGAAAATTTGTCACAGCTAAATGCTCTTGTGTTAATCACGGAGCCACCTTAAACTAGTTAGTGACTTGTGGAGTGTAACAGTGGTGCTAAGTTTTTTCTTAAGGTGGGCCTGAGATTTGAGACAATTTCATGTCAGTGAGTCGAGATTTAATTAGTCATTTGCTTAAGTTTCTCTTGCTACAATTTCATTTTTTTCCATACCTTGCTGTTCTGATAAGATGTATAGGTGGTGCCGTCGCTGCTGTAGGAGATAGTAAAGCTCGTAACCCATTGATACGCTTCTTGTCGTCCCTGGATCTGTATCCCTGTCACCTCGGTTTTAGCTCCAAGATCCACTTGTAGCCACTGATGAACGTCATTTGTGCGGGCGGACCACGCGCCAGTCTTACCCCCTCCAGCCTTGAAATTGAGTCTGCCATTGGTGGCGCCGTGTGCAGAGTTGAATTCCGTTGAAGCTGTGATCTGGCCATCGGTTATTTTTCTGCTCTCCATCCCGAGAGGGTCCGAACATGCTATACAAAGAGAATACATTTGTTTAGACAACTATAGTGCTAGTTGATGTTCCATTGTTTTTGCACGATTATTGCGTTAAGGACTTGCAATTTTTATTCCTACTTGCACTTTCCTGTGGTTTATCATTCACAGCACAATGTCCGAAAAATTGTTGTAAAAGTTCCACATGCAAAAAAATTCTTTTGAAGTCTCATTGTTGCTATAGCGTTGTTTGTAAAATTGCATTTGTTCAAAAATAGATCCTTTTTGATTTTCGTAGGTCACGTATTTCCTATGGATGATACTTAGGTTAAAGGCACAACACGTCATTCCATAAAATTGATTACATAATTGTAAAAGAAATTATTTGGGCCTTTGACTACGTAATAATAAGAGGAGTGAACTGTCGTCGAAAGACTATGCGAGTAAATTGTGTACCGCTGTGGTAAAAGGAAGTGGGAAGTTGTTTGTTAATTAAGAAGAAAGCGAACAAGATTGTCAGTACCTGACGGACATCCTAAGAGTTCCATCCTCATAGAAATATGGCCACGCCACGTCTTAGGATGCACCCGAATGTAGCGTGCATCTATGGAAGGGTGTAAAACATTCAAAACCACGGTGTTGCGGTCCGTGTTTCCATTAAAAACCTGGAGCAGGTAAATGATGGAGAAGTGTTAAGGTTAAACTAGTTAGTGACTTGTGGGATGTAACTGCGATGGTAAGTTTTGAATGTGGGCCCTAGATTTAAGACACTTTCATGTTAGTGAGTCGAGATTTAATCAGTCATTTTCTTGAGTTTCTTTTGCTACAATTTCATTTTTTTCCATACCTTGCTGTTCTCATAAGATGTATAGGTGATGCCGTCGCTGCTGTAGGAGATAGTAAAGCTCGTAACCCATTGATCCGCGTCTTGTCGTCCCTGGATCTGTATTCCTGTCACCTTGGTTTTAGCTCCAAGATCCACTTGTAGCCACTGATGAACGTCATTTGTGCGGGCGGACCATGCGCCAGTCTTACCCCCTCCAGCCTTGAAATTGAGTCTGCCATTGGTGGCGCCGTGTGCAGAGTTAAATTCGGTTGACGCTGTGATCTGAGCATCGGTAATTTTTTCGTTTTCCAGTCCGAGAGGGTCTGAACATGCTATACACAGAGAATGAACTATTTAAGTTGGCTTTAGTAGAAGTTAAGAGTTGTATTGTTTTGAAAAGGTGAGTGTGCTTTCAATAGGTCGCCACAGAGTCCTACTAGTGTAAGTCTTTTTTTTTTCTTAAGTTCGCTGCCTGTGATATTGGCATCGGGAATGTTTTTATATTCTAGTCCTATGGTTGTGTGGGCTTAGAGAATCACTTTTTTAATAGTCTACGAGTTTATTGTTTAAGGTTTTGTAATAAGGTTAGTCGTCATGGTTGTGATGTTACAGAGTCTTTTTATAGATAATGGTGTGGTTTGTTTTTAGGGAATTTGCAACGGTTGTCGAGAGACTACACTGTTATTTCGTAATTTTCAGAGTTTTATTCAATATTAGTGAATATGGTGAGGGAAATATTAAAGAGGAGAAAAAAGAAATAAACAGTCACCATTTTCCGAAAATGTCTCTAACGAGTTGGCCACAAAAAAATTTGAATCTGTGGAGAAAGAACTGCTCTGCTCTCTTTTGACAAATGAGTTTAGTTGATTCTTTTCACAACTTTTGATTGAAGCAAAGTTGTGTAACTCGAAGATACGGGTCTTCGGGAGTTTAATGAGAAAGTTTGTTTCTTACTTACTTCTACTGTTTCTTATCTCTACTAATGTTACATTGAAGCTATAGACTGGAAATATATTATTGTTTCTGAAACAAAACCAATTTTGGAGATCTTCCCAAACAATTTTTATTTGAATAGGAGCATGAAATTTTTGTTGTATGTAAGTGGAAGACCAGACCTTAGTTGTCCAAAGGTCGGATCGCGCTATCCGCCGGATAAATCTCTTTCCAGTGCCGCGTGGACAGTGCAAGAAGTTTCTCCATTACTTATCCGCTGGATAGTGATTTATCCGGTGGATAACGCTATCCAACTTATGAACAACCGGGACCTGAGCGACACCGTTTTTTTAAGGTTCAGTTCTGAGTCTTAAGTGAAGTTTCAGCGACCAACAAAATTCATTTTTTGGTTGTTTATTTTTGTCGGAACATTTACTATTTTTGTACGAATTTGACTTAACTGAGTACGTTCTTTCAGAGATTATTTCCTTGTTGTTAAGCTTACATTAGTCGCTTTTTGGTTAATTTTCCCTTTCTTATGCCAGCGCTTGTTCCGCTTCGATACCTTTTGTGAAGTATGGTGTGGTTGCCAGAGACCTTATCTGACGTGATTTCCGGCTTCCGTCAAGCCTTTGTATTGACCCGCTTGTGTCGTTGGCCTTCGGAGATTTGTTGGCCAGCGGATGACACCGAAGAACCCCCTGTACCCGAGACAATAAAAGCACTCATTAAAATACCAATTCAGTTTTATGCTTGTGACCGAATTACAGCATTGTCAAAACAACTGTATAGCCAAACACTAGCAAACCCGTTTTACGTTTTGGATTTCCAATGTTTATTTGTAGTTGTGCAAGCCGTCGTTAGCGGGCACGTAACCCTTTCACTCCAGTGGCCACTTTTGAGAACCATTGTAGTGCCGGCCAGCTCCATGCAGTAACGGAAACCATTTTCGCTTCCCGTGGGTGTCCGCTACCCTGGGTACCAGAGGTTTTTCTCGCGTGCGGCGGAAATTTTCGGTGTTGGCCGAAGGCCGAAGCCGCGAGAAAAAGACTTGACAGAAACCGGAAACCGCGCTAGAAAAGGCTCAGGGCCCGGTTGCATAAAACCTGTACTTAAGTGCTCACTTAAGTAGGTCACTTACGAATCCGTTATGGGTACACTTACGGGTGTTGCATGGAACACACTTAGCACTCTCGTAAGTTTCTGTTTTACGTGGTAACTTACGGGCTCACTTAAGAGCACACGTAACCTTGATATAGTACTTTATTAATGACTCATTCTTTACTTTTAAGCTAACCATCGGTGAGTGTAAAGAAAGTTAAAAGCCGTTTCGAACACTTTTAAGCCCCTCAAAAAATGAAATTTGCATGCAAACGTTATTTTTCTTCAATATCTACTGAAAATTATAGTTCTTCTTCTTTTTTCACGAAAGTGTACATCGGAGGTTAACAAAGCGCATTAGAACGAATTATGTGAAGAAAAATACTTTTTTTCACTTCTCAGTAAAAGATTTCGTTAAATTTAGTAAAAAAAGTAACGATACGGGACCTACATAGGTCCCGTAAATATACGTGCTATTTTTCGCGTAAAAAAAGTTTTATGCAACACCCGCAATTTCTGTTGCATAAACGACATTTAAGTGAACACTTACGAAAATCGTAAGTGCAACCACTTAAGTGAATTCCCTAAGTGGACCACTTAAGTGATTTCATGCAACTGACTTATGTTACGAGTGCACGTACGTGTACCCGTAGTTGTTACGGACGTTTTATGCAACCGGGCCCTGGCACCCAGGGTAGTGATAATTATTGTAATGAGAGTATACTTTTTTTTACTTTTCTCTGCGTGCAGTTGTTTAAAGTTTATTGTTTAAAAAATAGTTCCGCTTTCAGTCTTGGCCATAGCCTGTTCCAGGCTCTCACATAGGTAATAGGCATGGAAAAAAGAAAAAAAAAAAAAAGAACGAGTGCGTGATCTGAGGTGTTTTTCTCAATATCGCGGACTCGACTATCTCGGAGCCTAAAACAGGCTAGCTGGGCCAGATGAATATGGAACCTCGATGGTGACAAAAACTGCTTGTGACGAAGTCGTCGATCGGTGTAACGAACGTTATTATATGGCTGAGTCTGTTTTCACTGTGCAGTTTTTCAATTTGCGGTCCGTAACTTGCTATACGGACCAAAATTTCAAAGACAATGCTCATTTCGGAGCTCTAAATCTCTTTACCTTGGAAAAAAAACGTTGAAATTAAGTTACAAGACGTCTATCAACCTTGAGGGCTTAGATTTTGACTTTGTCCCTCAACATTTTAAACCGTGTGTTTATTTGTGCACGAAGGCGATGATCGAAGAGGATTCTAGTCAGTGTTTGAAAATTTTATCGTAGTACACAGTTAAGAAGACGAAAATCGACTGGCAGAGGTTCGAGATGTCACATCTCGAATCTCTGCCAGAATTTGCAAAGTTTGCCTAAGAGAAAATGAGTAATTTCTTCGACAAATATGATAACAAACATGCCTGCACCCGATCATCTTGACGAGCTTCTTTGTCATTTGCAGTGTTTTTCCAAAGACCAACGAAAGAAAGATAGAAGCGACTGCGAGCCAGACACAATGTCCAGTTTTCAAAAGACTCCAGCGTCACATTGGCAAGTGAATTTTAATTTTACAGTGCTCTTAGTTTTGACCGAATATACTTAAACTATGTCTGTAAACCCTGAGGACTGGGATGTTGATTTTGCCTTTCCAGATTTTAACCTAGCTTTGTTTGAACGCGAACGAAGCTGATGCAGAAACTGAATCGTAACCTTTCCGTGGAAGAAAAGATGGTCCGTGTTTGAAAATTTTAACGCTGATCTCGCTTGAACCCCTTGAAGACAAGGCTGAACTGGCAGTAATTCGAGACGTTTTCCCAAAAAAATTAACGAACGAATCTTCGACAATGACAACAAACTTACCTTGAAAAGCTTCGTTTTTTCCATCGATTTATGGCCCAAGCGCGAAGCACGCGGGCCATAAATCGATGGAAAAAACTCGGTCCGTAATTTACAGTGCGGACCGAAAACTCGGCTAATAAGAGGTATATACTTTACGCTCCTGTAAAAAAGAACGACAGCGTTGACAACGATACCTTATTATAGCGACAAATTTGGCCGGTGCCTTAGCCCTTGGTTATATCGAGGCTCGTGAGTTTCTTAATCCTTTAAGCCCCAAGGTCCACGTACAAAAATTTTCCAGGCTGATCTCCGTACATTTCTTTAGAAATAGTCGAGAGAATTTGGTTTAAGATCAAAGCGTTCTCCCTTTGGTAATCAATTTATTAATTCTCATAACCTTTACTCTTGATTCTTGATGATCTGCTGGTGTTGTTAGGAGAATATTGATGTTGGTCACTCTTGGGACCTAAAGTGTTAACATCAAACCTGCGAATGCGACGACCTCTTGTTGGCGACCATCTACCATCGGTGTGATTAGTTTTCCTATCCGCGTGGCCATATTTTGTTTGTTTTTTGCCGAGAAGTTTTCACGTGAATAATGCATCAGTCAATTCCACCTGTGCTTAGCCCCCCCTTCCCAGACTGACCCCCGGGCATTAGCATTTATTTTGCCTTGGATGACAAATTCCCGGGGATGGGGACTCTTGAGCTGTAAAATCCCCCGGGGTGGGGACGAAAAAAGAGGGCAAATGCCCCGTCCTGCGTCAACACTGCAACATTTTTCATTGATCGCACAGTCGAATAGTGCCTTTTTAAGCATTTTCATGTGCGATTTTCAATGTGCGGTTTCAATTAACGTCTTCCCTTGTAATAGCGCCAGGATTCTAATTAAGACTTCACGCCGCGACGACATGCACCAATTTATGGTTTAGTATAAAATTATTGTCATTAAAATTCACGGAGCGCTGTAAAGTGATATGTTATGAATAGTTTTATAAATATGAAGGGATGTTCTTCAAATAATATAAACAGAAATTTGATTCAATACCCCCAAAACGTTGATTCACATCGATAGCTCCAATTTCGCTATGTAATTCTGGCTTGATAAGCAATGAAGAAATGCATGCGTAAAATCTAGAACATGCCTTTACAGCCCTCTTCAATTTATTCCTGTCCTTGACAGATGAGCCAATCAGCCTTTTTTCCAGTAAAACCTTCTGTGTAGTTATATTCTGATAGGAAACCGCGTGCGTGTCAAAAGCTCGGGAATTGCCCCGGGGTTGGCAAATGCCCAGCCCCCGGGCAGTGCGAAAAGTTGCAAATACCCCCGGGACTGACAAGGAGGGCAAATTCCCCGCAGTAGCCGGGGGCGGGGGCTGCGCGCAGGTGGAATTGACTGATGCATAATTGCGGTGGACGACCCTGATGGGATAATTTTATGCAACAAAAATCGATGAATTGGAAAACGGTGCAGATTTCATTCGTGAAAAATGGTAGTTTTGCAAATCCGCCTGTAGGTTTCGAAACAAGGAACCAGCCTTACAAGTATTGGAACTCGGTCAGGAATGCCGGAACAGCATAGCAAACTCCGAAAACAAGACTTTAGTAAACTAAAGAATCCCAATAAAAACTATACATTCACTTTTAGGAGAAAGTACCTCGCGATTTGCGAATTAACTGCATGGCTTGCAGGATTTTCCAGAAAACCTAGCACTGTTATTTTATGATTTGTAAAATTGGTCTTCGTGAACCACAGATCAGTATAGCAATGGAACGCCGATAGCTTTAACTATCATTTTACCATACTGCAACTGGTTTCAGCAGGTCAGATTGATTCTGGCTTTGAACTTCTGTATTGCAAAAATTATACACTGCAGAAGTGAACTACATTTTACTTACGTTTGGCCGACGAAAAGGAGCAAAAAAATGGAAGGAAAAACAGCAGTCTTGTTAAACTCATTTTCACTGCCGGACCGTGTCTCCATTTAATTTTGTTTCTATTCCTTGAGAAGCGGAATTTATATACCGTAACAGGAAACGTATGACGTTTTATACGTGCTGCCTTGTTCTTAACGGTATAATGTTAAAAAGGATTAGGTTGGTATAGATTGGAATCAACGATATCACTTACGTCAATTGGATTTGGAAAGCACGTACCCCCCCCCCCCCGGGGGGGTACTTGGGTTTATGTTTCCTGGCCTCTCAGAGCCCCTATCCTATTATAGTCTATTTTTGGGCCAATTATAGAACCCCTCTTAGTCACTTTTTGGAAAATGTAATTTTCGCGATCCCAACTTAGTCACTTTCTATTTATGCATCTACCTTATCAATGTGGTTTCAGGCGTCCCCATTAAGCCCTTATAAGGAAGTACCCCCCCCCGGGCCTCGTCCAGACGTGATGTTTGAGTAATCACAATTTCACCACTTTCTACTGCTTACCATGCGAGTAGGATATAAAAACGCTAGGACCTTGAATCCTCTTTTAGTTTTATCGTAAAACTTTGCACAGAATAAATGCCATTTATAGGGTCACCCTTCCTCCTTAATTAAACAGGCCCCAAGTCAGCATTTGACTCAGCAAGATTAGACACCTTGAAGTGATGATGTAAATGCCTCATATCTCCATACTCCAAACTGACATTTCCTTCTCACATGACATTTCCCCTTTCCAACATGAAATTTCTCTGTCTCTTGAAATTTCTGCTCGTCAAATGTTCATGAAAGTCTATTTCTTTTCAATTTTTAAGGAATGAAAATTCCAGGTCAGCACGAGTAGGATTCGATCTCGGAGCATTGGACCTGCAGCCCACCACCTCAGTAAACATTAGTTTTTCTATCAGTTAAGACAAATATGATCGTAAAGATTTTCTTTCGTACAAGGAGGCGCTTTCAAATTGAATTTAAGAAATCCATGTCTGTTTAACAAGAATATGTTTAGGTTGACTCTGTATTAACTATTGAGCTTGGAAGAATCTGCAATAGCTAGTGAACGTTTGCAGCTAACCGTGGCCATAGTGCCATGGAAAATGTTAGCCGGAAGTCACGAATATGTGTAAACTTACAAATTCTATTCTCATGTTATCGAAGTCAACTTCATGTAGTATGAGGATGACAAAGCAAAAAGGTTAGCCGGAAGTCACGAACAGGTGTAAACTTACAAATTCTATTCTCATGTTATCGAAGTCAACTTCATGTAGTATGAGGATGACAAAGCAAAAAGGTTAGCCGGAAGTCACGAACAGGTGTAAACTTACAAATTCTATTCTCATGTTATCGAAGTCAACTTCATGTAGTATGAGGATGACAAAGCAAAAAGGTTAGCCGGAAGTCAAGAACAGGTGTAAACTTACAAATTCTATTCTCATGTTATCGAAGTCAACTTCATGTAGTATGAGGAAGACAAAGCAAAAAGGTTAGCCGGAAGTCACGAACATGTGTAAACTTGTAAACTCTATTCTCATGTTATCGAAATCAACTTCATGTAGAATGAGGACGGCAACGCGAAAAGGTTAGCCGGAAGTCACGAACATGTGTAAACTTACAAATTCTATTCTCATGTTATCGAAATCAACTTCATGTAGAATGAGGACGGCAACGCGAAAAGGTTAGCCTAGACTACGAGCAGTCCCCCATTTTTCCTCAGGGATAGTAGAGTGAGCAAAACGCGAGCGCGCGTGAAACGCGTGGGGTGATTTTCACGCGCGCTCGCGTTTCGCTCGCTCTACTATCCCTGAGGAAACATGGGGGACTACTCGTAGTCTAAGGGTAGCCGGAAGTCACGAACAGGTGTAAACTTACAAATCTATTCTCATGTTATCGAAAGTAACTACATTATAGTATGAAGACGACAGCGCGCAAACATGTAAATGTCATCTTTACTTTCTCACTGGCTTTTTATATTCAGGTTCAAGTAATAGTAGACACCCAAAAACCTAGCAAACAAGCTTGCAACTAAATAGGCCTAAATAGCGGTAAGTAAGAAATACTGGTAACAGGGGCGGATCTAGGGGGAGGGTGCAGGGGGTGCGCACCCCCCCGAGATGACCTGCGGTTTTCTAATACAACTGGTATTCTGCAAAAAAAAAAAAACGCTATGTGGTTTATTGGTGTTGAAGTAGAGTAAGAGACAAGTGCACCCCCTCCTAAAAAAAATCCTGGATCCGCCCCTGGGTAATGTTACCTGGTGGAAGTCCGGCTGTTGTTGGAGATATAGTCGTTGGTGGAGAAAGAGTCGTTGTTGGAGGGAGAGTCGTTGTAGGCGATGTGGTTGTTGGATTCGGCGTCACTGAAAGTATTGGAAAAGAATAAAAAACGCGATAAACAAGCAATGAAACTACTGCTATAATATAATTGCTGAGTCATCTAGTTGCCCTTTCTGTCTTCGACTCGACGTTGAAAGTAACAAAAAAAGTGATACGAAAAGAAGTTCTAAACGGCGTATTACAAAACGTTGTTGAGCGATTAGGGATACCTTTTAGGCCGAATTTATCAGTAAACAACAGAAACTTTGACTGATTAGATATTTGTTCTCCCCCTCGTATAGCCTGAGTATCAGGCCTTCCTAAGGGGCTAGGGGCTAGGGGAGAGGAGATTTCCCCTTTTCCCCAGAAACGCCTGATACTCAGGCTACCCCTCGTATTGCATCAAATATAGACCCGGAATCGATATTTTGATCGTAAGGTGATGACAGACAGTAAAGGTTTCCGCTTATTTATTTATGTAAAACAAATTAAGGATAATAGAAAGGTAGCTTTCTCAGTAACGTTAGTTTATTCTTTTTCATGCTTGCGCTCGATCATGAGAATAGTTTGCTCGTATAAGGCGTTGAATTTTTATTTTGGCAGTCGGGTAAGGCTGCATAAGTGGATAAGCAGTTCGTAAAGTTGAAATTGAATAAGTGTATCTATGTCAGTTTAAGAGTGCAATATGGCCGCCGTATCATTGTTTTGGAACAACAAAATGGCTGCCGTGACGTCTTGTGAAAACGCTCTATATATTTTATATATTCTCTACATAGACTGTTATTGTTAGACCTTGTTACCACACTGTGTGCAGCGGTTTTCATCACAAAATCTTTGATCAATTTTCTTTGAATAAAATTACTTAGAGAAAAGGCGTGCAGTGTCCTTTCTAGTGTATAATGAGTCAGCCTAGTCAGTAAGAAAGGCGGAGTACGCCTTGTTTGTTAAAGCTCTTTTCGAAAGAGAACTAACCAATACCTGGGCAACCTAAGAGTTCCATTCTCATGGAAATATGCTCGTGCCACTTTCTAGGATATACCCGGATGTAGCGTGCTTGAATGGGTGGGACAAAAACGTGCAACACCTCTGTGTCATGGTCACTGTTTCCCTTTAAGACCTGCAGTTTTGAAAAGAGGATAACGGTTATATGTTATTACAGATAACCTTATTATAGTCACTCAATCCTCTTCATCATAAAACACTACAAAATTTATCAGCTGAACTGAACTAAGATGCGTTCAGTATTGACTACTACAAAGACTTCAATGAAATACCGTCGACTTTTTTGGCAATCTCCCTGTAAGTAACCATCTACCGTCAGTTACTCCTTTTCCCAAACACCATTATTTTTCTCTCAAAACCTTCTACATTGGCCCCCGGCTTCGGAAAGCACTGTTTGAATCCAAGGACGGCAACGTTTGGAAATAAAAGCCGAATACTATTTGCTTAATTCAGACATGATGACCTTGCTTGATGCAGATGGTGTAGAGTTGCGCCATTTCCCAAGTTTCAAAAACCCTCACTTTCAAAACGAGGCTAATTGTAAACACTTTCGTGTTTCATTTGCATGATAATAGAAAGTTATTTTCATATAAATGGCTTCACACTTAATCTCGCTTTGAACAGAGGTTTGGGGAACACTCGGAAATTTATTTGTTAAAGTATAAAATGTTCTAGTGAAAACTGTTCTCTCTTAACTGTGACTGCCCATATAATGTATGTAATGTTTAACACAAGAACAGTAGTGTTTGAAAACACGTGCTGAGAGTGTTTAAAACGTTAATCACCGTTTAGTCAGGTTGATATGATGTATGGACGGTTGACACTAGTGTACCAATACGTTTCTTAATATCAACTGTACTCTACATATTGTGGAATTATATTATATCTCATTACATTTTTTGACGCATCGTGTGGCAGGGGTGCCCTTTTCGCGGTATTTCGTGGTTACCTCTATTACAGATAGCTCTAGGGCAAAAGTCAATTTCTATTCTCTACATACCACGTTTTGCTTGTAGGCTGTGAAGGCGATGCCGTCGTTACTGTAGGAGATAGTATAGCTCTTCACCCACTGACAGGTGTCGCGTTCTTGTCCCTGGGTCTTGTTAAAGCTCTTTTCGAAAGAGAACTAACCAATACCTGGGCAACCTAAGAGTTCCATTCTCATGGAAATATGCTCGTGCCACTTTCTAGGATGTACCCGGATGTAGCGTGCTTGAATGGGTGGGACAAAAACGTGCAACACCTCTGTGTCATGGTAACTGTTTCCCTTTAAGACCTGCAGTTTTGAAAAGAGGATAACGGTTATATGTTATTACAGATAACCTTATTATAGTCACTCAATCCTCTTCATCATAAAACACTACAAAATTTATCAGCTGAACTGAACTAAGATGCGTTCAGTATTGACTACTACAAAGACTGAAATGAAATACCGTCGACTTTTTTGGCAATCTCCCTGTAAGTAACCATCTAGCGTCAGTTACCCCTTTTCCCAAACACCATTATTTTTCTCTCAAAACCTTTTACATTGGCCCCCGGCTTAGGAAAGCACCGTTGGAATCCAACGGCGGCAACGTTTGGAAATAAAAGCCGAATACTATTTATTTAATTCTCCAGAAAGAGACCATTTCAGATATGATGATCTTGCTTGATACAGATGGTGTAGAGTTGCGCCATTTTCCAAGTTTCAAAAACCCTCACTTTCAAAACGAGGCTGTTTGCAAACCCTTTCGTGTTTCATTTGCATGATAATAAAACGTTATTTTCATATAAATGGCTTCACACTTAATCTCGCTGTGAACAGAGGTTTGGGGAACACTCGGAAATGGCCTATTCGATTTTTATTTGTTAAAGTATAAAATGATCCAGAGAAAACTGTTCTCTCTTAACTGTGACTGCCCATATAATATATCTCATGTTTCGAACAAGAACAGCAGTGTTTGAAACAACACGTGCTGAGAGTGTTTAAAACGTTAATCACCGTATGATGTATGGACGGTTGACACTAGTGTACCAATACGTTTCTTAATATCAACTGTACTCTACATATTGTGGAATTATATTATATCTCATTACATTTTTTGACGCATCGTGTGGCAGGGGTGCCCTTTTCGCGGTATTTCGTGGTTACCTCTATTACAGACAGCTCTAGGGCAAAAGTCAATTTCTATTCTCTACATACCACGTTTTGCTTGTAGGCTGTGAAGGCGATGCCGTCGTTACTGTAGGAGATAGTATAGCTCTTCACCCACTGACAGGTGTCGCGTTCTTGTCCCTGGGTCTTAATTCCTGTCACCTGTGTTTTTTCTCCAAGGTCCACTTGTAGCCACTGATTGTAGTTATTATATTTTGCAGACCATGCACCAGCGTTGCCTCCGTCAGCCTCGAGGTTCAGTCTCCCATAGTAAGAACGTGTTCTGTTGTTGTACTCGGACGACGCTGTTATCTGTGCATCGGGTATGTTCTTGTTCTCCATCCCGAGAGGGTTTGAGCAAACTGTGCATATGTGATAAAATTTGTTTAGAGACTGCCTGTATTTTTGCTACACATCACCGGAGGTCATTCACATGCGGACTTTCCATGCTTGGTTCTCTCTCTTGTCATGTATTTGACCTTTTGTAACCCTGAGAAACTGGCCTGCGTGGCAGGCGTTCAAAGGGGAGGAAAGGGAGGGAAAGAAGAGGAGATTTGAGAGAGAAAGAAAGGAAAGGCTCCCTCTACTTTTTCCCTTTCGCTTTTCTCCCTTTATCCCTTCCCTTTTTAGCGCCAGTCCGCATTCTGTGCATTTCATTTTGCCTTTCCGTTTTACATGGTTTATACCAGAACCAAGAGCGAGAGGGGTCGACGTAACATGCAAGAATAATATCTTTTATAATGTCCGTTGTTCCATAGAATCATCCACGGCAAGCTTATTTTAGAAGACAACTGTTCTCAATCGAGCGTTGAACCTAATATCGCTGTTGCTGTGCAATTTCTTCTTTGCTGCGCCAGTATCGATGAACAAGAAAGAAAAAAAAAACGCCTCCTTTACTGATTCGATGATCAAACCTTTCAACCCCAGTCGTAACTTGTTCACCTACCCTTTTCCATCCTCCCCTACTTACGTTCAACCCTCGCGAGGTAGGTTATGACTTGCTTTTAGGATATGGCTGCGCTTGCCTTATAGGTAGCCTTTAGCTCAACTGTTTCAATGCTCCACTGGAGATTTCAATGCAAAACAATTTATATCCTTAGTCAACTATTGGTTGTAAAGACAATAATTATTACCTATTGGACAACCCAAGAGCTCAATCCGCATGGAAATATGGACATTCCACGTTTGAGGATGTAGACGAATATACCTTGCCTTGATGGATGGTGAAAACAGGCCTAAAACCACGGAGTTTTGATCTCTGTTTGCCCGAAAGACCTGCATAAATGGAATAAAACTGGACTGTTTTAACGTAAAAAGCACATTGTTTATCATCTTTTTCAATATTGTTATCGACTGCATTATCAGCAAATGAGCTACACTTTCTGTTGACTTACGAACCGATTGCTTTTCAAAGCTGACTCCGTGATAAAAAAAAAGACTTCTGTTTTCCACTCTTAAAAAGAAACCGGCCACCCTTAAATGTTAATCAGTTTTTTTTGTTTTGGGCTGAGAGAGAATCACTGTTAGATGGCTTCTGTGATTGCATGTTGGTTGTTTTAGGTCTGAAAGGTTAATATTGGTACAGTTTGAAGCCTTTTGAATTTGCTTAAACCATACAAATACCTATTTCGTTTGCAGGTTTTACGGCACTTTTTACTGTGTTCTCTACATACCCTGTTTTGGCCATACGCTGTGAAGGTAATCCCGTCATTACAGTATAGCTTTTGACCGACTGATGACGGTCTTGTCTTCCTTGACTTTGTATCGCCTGCACTTCCATTTCTTGCCCAAGATCTACTTGTAGCCACTGATGAACGTCATTTGTTTTGGTAGACCATGCGCCAGTCTTACCTCCTCCAGCCTTGAAATTGAGTCTGCCATTGGACTGGCCGTGTGCGGTGTCATACTTACTGGAAGCTGTTATCTGGGCATCGGGTAAGTCTCTGTTCTCCATCCCCAGAGGGTAGGAACATCCTGTATAGAAAACAAATAACTGATTTATGGGGATATGCATGGATAAATATAACTCAACCAAATTTGATCAAATTGCTCGAGCGCCTTATTCTATGCGTTAATGGGAATTGTTGAACTGACAAGAGATGATCGACAATTATCTTCAAGCAGTCGTATATGTGACTAATGCTTTTTCATTTTTGTATACACTAGGTGTTCAGCGGGCACTATTCTCGAGTACGGTACGCGCTGGGCACTAATGTGCACACACCCTTTCTAAGTACGCATTCAGAATTCGCGCACATTGGTGTAAGGTGGGCAAAGTTGCCTTATATGTACATGGGTTCTGTTAGTTCTGAGGCAGTGCACTGCTTTACATACTCATAACCTCCTGCTATGCGCACGTTTCATAATGATGTCTGACTTGGCGAAATGGAACAAATACGTTCACAGTTACATATAGGGTGCACAAAGTGTTAAGACGGAATCCACCAAGACATTGAGTAATTATAATTTTCAGTGGACAAAAACCTTGTACCAGAATAATTTAAAGCATATTACATTCTCTCTCACATTTTTCAAGGGCTAAAGATGTAAGAAATCCTCTGTAGTAACACCAAAAAAAATTTGTTATGGGAGCCCGAGAAAATGAATGTCAAATTTCACAAAATTACATCTTACACATGAAATTTTCAGAATTTTACCTGTGTAATCACAATTCTTGTGAAATTTGAAATTCATTTTCTCGGACTTCCATGGGAAATTTTCTTTGGTGTTACTACAGATGATTTATTACATCTTTGGCCCTTGAAGAATGTAAAAAAGAATTCAATATTCTTTACATTATTCTGGTACGAGGTTTTTGTCCACTGAAAATTAAAATTACTCAATTTCCTGGTGGATTCCGTCTTAACACAACACCATCATGTGCCCGAAGGCGTACCCAACTATAGTGCTTAGGCTCCAAGTATTAACTTACCCTGGGTACCAGAGGTTTTTCGGTGTCGGCCTAAAATTCGCGCCGCACGCGAGAAAAACCTCTGGTACCCAGGGTATAGCATGAATATTTTTTAGGATTAATTGCTGTGCGAGAATTTTTTTTCATTTAATTTTCCTTTGCGCGAATATTTTTTTGTACTCGCCCGTCCCCCTCACAAGTTTTCTAATGGTCCGTCTTGATTGAGCTAGCAAGCCAGCTGGGAGCTAGTCATTTATATTGGTTCACTAGCATAGTGTTACCCCGTTTGAACTGTCACTTAAGCTCTGTAACAAATGGTTCTTGCAAGGGACCTTGACCACTTTGGTGAATTACTGGCTGGTCTTTTCCATCGTTTCAAGTTCTTTGAGGCTACCTCTTGCTGTACATTTGAATAAAGCAGGGGAGCATAGAGGGTTAGCAGCACTGGAAAATAGGCGAATGGGAGGTGGGAGAGGAAAGAGAGGGAGGTGGGAGTTCCAGTAGGGTGGGAAGTTGGAGAAATATGGGGAAAGTATGCAACAATGCTTAATATTTTCCAATAAAAAAAGTGTGAAGTGGAGAAAGTCAAGAAAATTGGCAGGAGCCGGGAATGCGAAGTACAGGAGATGGGAGCTTTGGACCCCCAACCCCCCCCCCGCCCCCACCCACACACACACACACACACACAAAAAAACATTTACTTATCTTGATCAAAATGAGGATAATGCATAACGTTATTTAACATTAGTTTGCACAAATGTTTTCGTAATTTACAACATACCACTAGCTCTTTGCTTTAAACTCTTGAAAGCCACTGCCCTCAATAAGTTTGTCACATGGTTGTTTATGTCTGCCTATTCTTGTAAACGACACACTTTAAGCTGCAGCCACTTTTGAGAATATTTCCTGAGGTGGCAGCTTATGTGAGTTTTGACTGTATTCAAAGATTTCAATGTTCCGTGAACATCTAAGCATACCCCTAACCTCCAACCCTATGGATTTTTAGAGGTTAAAAAACTGCCCCATGTAGGAAAAACATAGGGTTCCAATGGTCCACTTTGGAGGTCTAAATTGATTGCCTTAGAAGATGGCAAAAATACAAGACACAAGTAGATGATTGTTATATTGTAAGTTCTGACTTGTTAACTTCATAAATTATTTATCAGAGTTATGTCAAATCAATAGGTCATAACTGAGTCACAAGCACACCTCTGTGTAGCCCCAATACAAATCAACTGGGTGAATGCAAAATTTAATTGTGCAATTAACTTTTGATACAAACTCCTTCTTGACTAAAGAGTAGTCATGAGAAATCAAGGCTTTACCAGGTGGCACTGACCTCTATTAAAGCAGCCACTTGTCCCTTCCCTGAGGGCAGCTGCTTTATAGTGCTTGCACTGTATAATATTTTTGAATGAAAACTGCGTGAACATTCAACATTCGAGAACTGTTGATGACTCATGCTTCCTATCCTCAAGATCAGACTTACATGCACCTTTGCATAATAAATTAGAAAAACAAATGGCTTGATTTAAGGCAGAATTTTTAATGACTTTTCACATGTAAGTGTTTATGAATGTGATCTTCTGTCAGTGTTAGATGATCATGAGTGTTAAAAAATGTGCTTTCCCCCACCCATAGCTTTGTAATAAGACCTTCAGCAATAAATACCCTATTGTGGAACTCACAACAACCAAGTTGTTATGGCTGTGTTTTCAAGAAAGTAGTTATAAACAAAGGAATGTTCTGGTGTCACAGACTGTTATAATTGTATTAACAAGGGTTATTGTATTATTATTGTATTAGCAAGGGTTAGGGTCACTAGTTTTCCTTTTACTTGCTATCCTCTCTAGAAAGTCATTATCTTTAGTTATTTAGTTTGCAGAAACTAAACTATGTCTGTTTAACATGAACTTGAACAGTACTGACGGTCAATGTCTAAAATATGCCAAACAAGAAACGTTTGCAAATTCAAGCAAGTAAACTTGCTTCAACTCCTTTGTGAAGCTAATCTACAATGTAGCTAGGCAGTTCTGACCTTTGAAAATCCTGGAAAATTTAAGAATCAAAGAAAAAAAGGGGTAGATAAATATAATATTCCTTTGTCAGTTTTGGGATCACTCAGGCTGTAGGATACATTTAAAAATTTACCCAAATAGTGAGTGGATGTCTTTTTTTAATATAAAAGAACCAGCAAAGTTAGACAATAATCCGAGGAAATGCTTTCCTTGATATAGACAGCGAGTGACCATCGCTTTGCCCCTTTACGATTTCTTAAAGCATGGATAATAATCAGCTTTAAAGGGGCCAGGGTAACAACTATTTTCTTGTGGTGGCAATTAAAACAACTATCAAAATTCACCAATACTGACCTTAATAAACACAGCAGAAAGAAATTTGCCACCATGCACTTTTCAAAATGATAATGATCTACATGTATGTCAAAAATTGTGTAATTTGCCGTTCACCGTGTTTTAGTTGTGACTCCCTATTCCATAGTCAAAAACATTCCCACCCCACTCTCTTTTTGTAGATTCATGTTAAACGTTTACTTTTTTATGCATCTACGATAGTAAGATTAGGTCAATGTCCCATTCTAAAACTGTTGCAAGAGAAAACGAAAAAAATGGCAATGAGAGGTCATACATACCCCTGATGCAATATTTTATGCGATGTTAATTGAAATTTTATTGTACGTTAATGTTGCTTTTCCCATTATGGTAATTGACCAGTTCAAGTCTAGGTCTAGTTACCCGCATAAAATAAGAAGACTAGAACCAGTCTTAACTTGCTCCGCAGATTTTCCCATGCATTAGCCTGCGTAACAGGTGTAACCGGTGGATAGCGCGTGACCGAACAATAGGTGAGGCCTCAAAGGTAGTGGGGGAAAAGTCGCGGTCCCAAAACTGAAAGGACCCGCCAGATTTAAGCGTGGACTCAAAATTGTTTCCTTCTTTTACAAATTAAAACGTTACGTGATTTACTTTCATAAGTAATGCAAGATTCTATAGTCCATTTTAAAGAGCTGGACATTCGCTATGCAATAAACGTTACAATAAATTAAAACTTTGCAAGCCGTTTTGCAAGCGAGTCAAATACGTTCTTAGCATAACGACCATACTTAACGGTTGTTAACAACTGATTTCATCTGTTTCTTAAAACTCACCGCAGTCACAGAACAATTGCTGGCTTTTGTTTGTATTTATAGCTCTTCCTTCTTCGACAAAGATATGTAAATTAGCGATGTTAGGAGTAATGTAAACGGTCTAAATCAAGCCCCTTCCTTCCCCATCCCACCTGTCTTAACTCCGAACTAGCGAAGAATGGGAAGAAAAAAGCGCGTCTATCAAGCAAAGGTTCCGGGTTGGAGGTGTAAACGAAATTTTTTTTTCTCTCTCTCTCTTGGCTTCTTTTCGCGTTATTCCTAATGCTAGCCCTTGACCTGAGCTTTGAGAGGATCTCTAGTTTAATAAAATCCAACTTGGTGTTGTGAAGCAAAAAAGTTTATAGCTGTTTACGTTGTGCACCCGATCCAGAGTTGAAACTCGGGATTACATTTTAGGGATGTCTTAAATACAGTAAAAACCCACATATAAGGGCCTAGTGATTTAAGAACTTACAGGCTGAAATTTGGCATTTAAATACCCAAAACTATAAGAACCTGTTCAGCCTGGCAAAGAAAAATAGGTTCTCATACAAAAAAATAACTCCAAGTTTGATGGTCAAAATTCTGGATTTTAATTGCGTGAGAAACTTCTGACAAAAAGTTATTTGATTTTCAGTAGAAATATGTTTTCCAAATATCGACGATTTAAAATCTAAAATATCTACATATGTCTGCCAATGGTTACATTACGACAACCTCTTAAAAATAAGAACCTATTAGAAGCTAATCAGCCTGAACTGTGAAAAACTACCCTAAATATAGGAACCTGTTCGGCCTGACCTCAAGAATTCCAGGTTCTTATATGCGGGTTTGTATAGGTAATAGCATGATTTGTTGTGATATTTGGCATAAATACCTCAGGTGATATTTCGAAATTGTTATATGTAATTTCGCGAGCCCTTAGGCGAGTGAAATTTGAGACAATTTTGAAATATCACGAGTGGTATATTTATGCCAAATATCACGTAGAAATCATGCTATTATTACTGGGCTGCCTGTGCGCCCAGTCATAAAATGGGCTTTCGGTCGTCCGCGGCGAAAAACGGCCTCCCGGGGGAGGGAAGACACGAGGGTCTGGTACCGAGAAACGATGTTCTCACAAATGGTTTCATATGATTTTCTCTTGCACGAACCCTTGCACGGATACTTTTTGTACCTCGTCTGCGCTCCCCCTGAAAAACCCACAAAGCGTTGCGAACCTGAAGAAGGCTACTTGCGTTGTTCGAAGCGATTCGATCATGGGAGTCACTCTATAATTTTTGTATTGTTCGAGTTTAAGTCAGTTAGATGATGTTGGCGCTGGGAAACTCAGAGAAATGCTCGCGTTGCATTCAAACCGACACGCCGTTCACGGTAGGTTCACACTAAAAGATGACTGTGGGCGTCAGGTTTGGAACGCCGTGGCCGCTTCGTGAACTCAAAGAGAGAATTACCGATCGATGTAGTACATGAGCAATTAAGAAGCACAATTTATGAGCAAGGTATTTCACCAGTTGACGACACTATGGCTGAAGACTTGATTGTAAGCCTTCGTAGTCAGTGAAGCGATGAATGGCACTACGCACGTCCATGAGCGAGGGACGTGACAACTGTGCCATGTTAGAAGACTGGCTTTTCCTTTAAATATTTTCTTCTATTTAATGCAACACACGCCACTTTGGAGGTCTAAATTTCGGATACTGAGGATAAAGAAGACACGGACAAAAATAGGGACTCTGAGAATTTCGCACACAAGTTTAAAGCTTCACCGGGACATCCCATTCAGGAGCTTCACAGAGAGCGACTTGAGGAAAATAGGAGCTATTACTGACAAGGTTTGGTGACTGAGTAGAGCATACAAGTGTAGCCCACGTCGAGGTTTCAGGGGGTTTGCTTTTGTTTGTATTTGTATCTTGCTAAGCTTTTATCATTAAATTTTGTACATGATCTTGTGATCACAATTCTGTGTTTTCGCCCATTCAGCAAGCACGCGAAATTGATGTCAGCATTAGCGAGTTTCAGAAACATGCCTTTGAAAGTTTTCAGCTCTGGTGATGTTTCTTGATATTTCTTTTACCATTTTATGGAGATGTAAACTGAAGTCACCGCAAAATGGAAACTTAAAAAAGCGTATAATCCATTTATCTCGAAACATAACACACAAGACTTATACGACCTTTATTTTCGTAAAGGTGTTTTGAATACGAACGAACACAGTCAATGTGAGGGGCAAAAACAGCATTAATATAAATGAACCATAGGGTTTTAACTAATATAAGGGTCAATTATTGTGCATTGAGATGAATCGCTTGAAAAGAGAGACTTCGCTTGAAGATGTGATCAGAAGTAAACAAAGGCATAATAGTGCGTCACGTTCAGTCTTTTTAATATCCAAGGAGTGACTGTGAATAGTGTTTCCATATTGTTTAGCTGGAACAAAAACTTCGGACGAGTTATAAAGCGGCATAGTTTATTATCTTCCATGAAGAAAAGTTCGTCTTGGGTGAGACAAACAGAACTGGAGCGAATTTTTAACTCGCATCGGTATCGGGTAAAAAATGTTATCGATCGTTTGATCAATTTACATTGTTTGAAGTGCGTGCTGGTGAACGCAACATGCGAGCGAGAAATCTTTAAACTTTTTTAGGTCTCAAAATGCAAAGGATTTTATTCCTTTAAGTTAGAGAAAAATACCATGAGGAAAATCTTAAAACTGAATGTTTTTCATCTTGTGGAAAAAATAGTGCGTTTTCTTGTAGACTGTGGACCGCAAATTAGGATCGCAACTATCGCACTTTTCACAAACATGCGAATTCTGAAGTTCAGAAGCCAACCGACGATTGCGTTTTTCGCTGCTGTCAATCATCTTAACGGACCTCTTAGGAAACAAAACTTTACTTCACGGGTTCAAAAGGTCATGGTTTGTGATTTGTGGATTTCGATCCGTTTTGTGTGTTTCTCTGTTTCAAGGTTCGTTGCTTGTGATCGTAATTATGATTGACGGCAGCGATAAACACAATTGTGAAGGTGGTTTTTGAACTTTAGAGTTCGTATGTTTGTGAAAAGCGCAGTAAAGTCTCCGTGCAGTCAGTTGGGCCCAGTTGGATCAGGCGGGATCAATGGGCAGTTAACTGTCTGTTTTAGTATACTTCTGGTTTTCATACAATACAATATTTCTGTCTAGTGTAAATCAGCTCAGTCTGTCGCATTTTATGCTCGTAGAACGACAACAATTTTTGGAATTTCCAGTTACGTCAAATTGGTCACGTTATACTGTCACGCTATATTTTGGGGCACAGAGGGATTGGGGGAGGGGTACGTGGAAAAAATGCAAATTGTTTCCTGCTTAGAATTAATGGCTAACTTGTTTATTTTTCTTCATAATGGTGGAATTTAAAAGTTATTATACAGCCCCCACTTAAAAATGGTACTCTTTTTTTTGGGTTACGCAAGTCTTCTGAAAAAGGTACAATGTTTTGAATGAGTTTATGTTTCAGTCTCACTTGAGGTTCTGTCGCATGCAATGGTTGCCGACAAGGTTTTATGGTAGCCTGAGTGTGTATAGCCGCCCTCTCCCTTGAGAAAAAATAGCCCCTTTTGCAGCCCAGTTAAAAATCGCCTTTCGGCGATTCTTGTTTGTTTATACTACTACCCGCAAAAGGTTTGTAATTTTCACATGTAGGTATTTCAAATTAAGCTGAAATACCACTGGTCTAAACCAATCAGATTGCAGAAATTTCTCATGTAGTTGTATAATAACTGTAATACTAGTACAGTACCCTAATAATTTGTTCTCCCCCCCAAAAAATGTCCTGTTTACGACTTTTCATTGAAGTAGATAAAATAGAAGAGGTTATTAATTCCTTAAATGACAAGTGGATGGTCAAATAAAGTCAGTGGTTCTTCTTTTATTAGGATAAAAAATCCCGGATTACAGTTCAAGGCAGTCTCTTTTGACATTTAAACATCAAACAAATTCAAAACTCAAAAGCTTGTAATTCCAATACCAAACACAACTTCTCTTCATTAAGCAGTTTGACCTATATAAACTGTCATCGACTGTGATGTTTTGATTCCTCATCCTTCATCGTCCTTAGTGTCTTCTTGTATATACAGTAATATCTAGATTTACTCCCTTATATTTTCATACTTTGAAGCTTAATTTATCTAATTTTGGGCTTTTCCCTCTGCTCTGGTTCCCTTTAGTATGTGCTGTTTTTCTGCTTTATCTTAGCTTCAGTGCTGTGCGATTAGCTTTCGTTGTTGACCGAGAGATAAACGAATAATTACAAAAAAACGTTGTCTTAAGTCTAATTCGAAAACGTTACACTTTTGGACCCTAGGAATTTCTTTATTTTTTCAATGTTTTTTTCTTTTAATCTAACTTTTCTATCGACTACTCATGCAGATGATGATAAAAAATTAAAGACGTCGAATTTTAAGCTGCAAAAAGGAAAGAAGGGAACACTCACGTTATTACAAGTTGCAAATATGCGAATTAATGAGTCTAAGTCGTAAGAGCGCTTTCCATTTGCCCTAGGTCTCCCTTAATCCTATAACACTAGTTTGTTAAATTGCATCTGTTTCAACGTTTGATCCTTTTTGATTTTCGAAGCCCATGATTTCCTAAGTATGACAAGTTTAAAGGCACAACGCGCTATTCAATAAAATTGATTACATAATTGTGAAACAGATTAGTTGGACCTGTGATTATGAAATAATAGGACGAGTGACCTGCAGTTGAAAAACAATGCGAGGAAATTGTGTACCGCTGTGGTAAAAGTAAGTGGAAGTTGTTTGTTAATTAAGAAGAAAACGAACAAGATTGTCAGTACCTGACGGACATCCCAATAGTTCCATCCTCATAGAAATATGGCCACGCCACGTCTTAGGATGCACCCGAATGTAGCGTGCATTTATGGAAGGGTGCAAAACGTTCAAAACCACGGTGTTGCGGTCCGTGTTTCCATTAAAGACCTGGAGCAGGTAAATGATCGAGAAGTGTTAAGGTTAAACTAGTTAGTTACTTGTGGAGAGTAACAAACAGTGTTGCTTAGTTTTTAATGTAACCTTAAGGTTTTGAGAGAATTTCATTTTACCGAGTCGAGATTGAATTAGTTAATTGCTTGAGTTTGTTTTGCAACGATTTTCATTTTTTTCCATACCTTGCTGTTCTGATAAAATGTATAGGTGGTTCCGTCGCTGCTGTAGGAGATAGTAAAGCTCGTAACCCATTGATCCGCGTCTTGTCGTCCCTGGATCTGTATTCCTGTCACCTCGGTTTTAGCTCCAAGATCCACTTGTAGCCACTGATTAACGTCATTGGTGCGGGCGGACCATGCGCCAGTCTTACCTCCTCCAGCCTTGAAATTGAGTCTGCCATTGGTGGCGCCGTGTACAGCGTTATATTCGGTTGAAGCTGTGATCTGGCGATCGGTTATTTTTCTGCTCTCCATCCCGAGAGGGTCGGAACATCCTATACAAAGAGAATACATTTGCTTAGACAACTATAGTGCTAGTTGATGTTCAACTGTTCTTGTACGATTATTGCGTTAAGGAATTGCAATTTGAATGCCTACTTTCACTTTTCTGTGGTGTATCATTCACAGAACAATGTAGGAAAAATTGTTGTAAAAGTTCCACATGCAACAAAGTTGTTTTAAAGTCTCATTGTCGCTAAAGCGTTGTATGTAAAATTGCATTTGTTTAAAAATAGATCTTTTTTGATTTTGACAGGCCACGTATTTCCTATGCATGATCCTTAGTTTAAAGGCACGACGCGTCATTCCATAAAATTGATTACATAATTGCAAAAGAAATTGTTTGAGCCTGTGACTTTCTAATAATAAGAGGAGTGACCTGCAGTTGAAAGACTATGCGAGTAAATTGTGTACCGCTGTGGTAAAAGTAAGTGGGAAGTTGTTTGTTAATTAAGAAGAAAACGAACAAGATTGTCAGTACCTGACGGACATCCCAATAGTTCCATCCTCATAGAAATATGGCCACGCCACGTCTTAGGATGCACCCGAATGTAGCGTGCATTTATGGAAGGGTGCAAAACGTTCAAAACCACGGTGTTGCGGTCCGTGTTTCCATTAAAGACCTGGAGCAGGTAAATGATCGAGAAGTGTTAAGGTTAAACTAGTTAGTTACTTGTGGAGAGTAACAAACAGTGTTGCTTAGTTTTTAATGTAACCTTAAGGTTTTGAGAGAATTTCATTTTACCGAGTCGAAATTGAATTAGTTAATTGCTTGAGTTTGTTTTGCAACGATTTTCATTTTTTTCCATACCTTGCTGTTCTGATAAAATGTATAGGTGGTTCCGTCGCTGCTGTAGGAGATAGTAAAGCTCGTAACCCATTGATCTGCGTCTTGTCGTCCCTGGATCTGTATTCCTGTCACCTCGGTTTTAGCTCCAAGATCCACTTGTAGCCACTGATTAACGTCATTTGTGCGGGCGGACCATGCGCCAGTCTTACCTCCTCCAGCCTTGAAATTGAGTCTGCCATTGGTGGCGCCGTGTACAGCGTTATATTCGGTTGAAGCTGTGATCTGGCCATCGGTTATTTTTCTGCTCTCCATCCCGAGAGGGTCGGAACACGCTATACAAAGAGGATACATTTGCTTAGACAACTATAGTGCTAGTTGATGTTCAATTATTTTTGCACGATTATTGCGTTAAGGACTTGCAATTTGGATGCCTACTTGCACTTTTCTGTGGTGTATCATTCACAGCACAATGTAGGAAAAATTGTTGTAAAAGTTCCACATGCAACAAAGTTGTTTTAAAGTGTCATTGTCGCTAAAGCGTTGTTTGTAAAATTGCATTTGGTTAAAAATAGATCCGTTTTGATTTTGGCAGCCCACGTATTTGCTATGCATGATCCTTAGTTTAAAGGCACGACGCGTCATTCCATAAAATTGATTACATAATTGTAAAAGAAATTGTTTGGGCCTGTGACTTTCTAATAATAAGAGGAGTGACCTGCAGTTGAAAGACTATGCGAGTAAATTGTGTACCGCTGTGGTAAAAGTAAGTGGGAAGTTGTTTGTTAATTAAGAAGAAAACGAACAAGATTGTCAGTACCTGACGGACATCCCAATAGTTCCATCCTCATAGAAATATGGCCACGCCACGTCTTAGGATGCACCCGAATGTAGCGTGCATTTATGGAAGGGTGCAAAACGTTCAAAACCACGGTGTTGCGGTCCGTGTTTCCATTAAAGACCTGGAGCAGGTAAATGATCGAGAAGTGTTAAGGTTAAACTAGTTAGTTACTTGTGGAGAGTAACAAACAGTGTTGCTTAGTTTTTAATGTAACCTTAAGGTTTTGAGAGAATTTCATTTTACCGAGTCGAGATTGAATTAGTTAATTGCTTGAGTTTGTTTTGCAACGATTTTCATTTTTTTCCATACCTTGCTGTTCTGATAAAATGTATAGGTGGTTCCGTCGCTGCTGTAGGAGATAGTAAAGCTCGTAACCCATTGATGTGCGTCTTGTCGTCCCTGGATCTGTATTCCTGTCACCTCGGTTTTAGCTCCAAGATCCACTTGTAGCCACTGATTAACGTCATTGGTGCGGGCGGACCATGCGCCAGTCTTACCTCCTCCAGCCTTGAAATTGAGTCTGCCATTGGTGGCGCCGTGTACAGCGTTATATTCGGTTGAAGCTGTGATCTGGCCATCGGTTATTTTTCTGCTCTCCATCCCAAGAGGGTCGGAACATGCTATACAAAGAGAACACATTTGCTTAGACAACTATAGTGCTAGCTGATGTTCAATTATTTTTGCACGATTATTGCGTTAAGGACTTGCAATTTGGATGCCTACTTGCACTTTTCTGTGGTGTATCATTCACAGCACAATGTAGGAAAAATTGTTGTAAAAGTTCCACATGCAACAAAGTTGTTTTAAAGTGTCATTGTCGCTAAAGCGTTGTTTGTAAAATTCCATTTGTTTAGAAATAGATCCTTTTTGATTTTGGCAGCCCACGTATTTGTTATGCATGATCCTTAGTTTAAAGGCACGACGCGTCATTCCATAAAATTGATTACATAATTGTAAAAGAAATTGTTTGGGCCTGTGACTTTCTAATAATAAGAGGAGTGACCTGCAGTTGAAAGACTATGCGAGTAAATTGTGTACCGCTGTGGTAAAAGTAAGTGGGAAGTTGTTTGTTAATTAAGAAGAAAACGAACAAGATTGTCAGTACCTGACGGACATCCCAATAGTTCCATCCTCATAGAAATATGGCCACGCCACGTCTTAGGATGCACCCGAATGTAGCGTGCATTTATGGAAGGGTGCAAAACGTTCAAAACCACGGTGTTGCGGTCCGTGTTTCCATTAAAGACCTGGAGCAGGTAAATGATCGAGAAGTGTTAAGGTTAAACTAGTTAGTTACTTGTGGAGAGTAACAAACAGTGTTGCTTAGTTTTTAATGTAACCTTAAGGTTTTGAGAGAATTTCATTTTACCGAGTCGAGATTGAATTAGTTAATTGCTTGAGTTTGTTTTGCAACGATTTTCATTTTTTTCCATACCTTGCTGTTCTGATAAAATGTATAGGTGGTTCCGTCGCTGCTGTAGGAGATAGTAAAGCTCGTAACCCATTGATCCGCGTCTTGTCGTCCCTGGATCTGTATTCCTGTCACCTCGGTTTTAGCTCCAAGATCCACTTGTAGCCACTGATTAACGTCATTGGTGCGGGCGGACCATGCGCCAGTCTTACCTCCTCCAGCCTTGAAATTGAGTCTGCCATTGGTGGCGCCGTGTACAGCGTTATATTCGGTTGAAGCTGTGATCTGGCGATCGGTTATTTTTCTGCTCTCCATCCCGAGAGGGTCGGAACATCCTATACAAAGAGAATACATTTGCTTAGACAACTATAGTGCTAGTTGATGTTCAACTGTTCTTGCACGATTATTGCGTTAAGGAATTGCAATTTGAATGCCTACTTTCACTTTTCTGTGGTGTATCATTCACAGCACAATGTAGGAAAAATTGTTGTAAAAGTTCCACATGCAACAAAGTTGTTTTAAAGTCTCATTGTCGCTAAAGCGTTGTATGTAAAATTGCATTTGTTTAAAAATAGATCTTTTTTGATTTTGACAGGCCACGTATTTCCTATGCATGATCCTTAGTTTAAAGGCACGACGCGTCATTCCATAAAATTGATTACATAATTGTAAAAGAAATTGTTTGGGCCTGTGACTTTCTAATAATAAGAGGAGTGACCTGCAGTTGAAAGACTATGCGAGTAAATTGTGTACCGCTGTGGTAAAAGTAAGTGGGAAGTTGTTTGTTAATTAAGAAGAAAACGAAAAAGATTGTCAGTACCTGACGGACATCCCAATAGTTCCATCCTCATAGAAATATGGCCACGCCACGTCTTAGGATGCACCCGAATGTAGCGTGCATTTATGGACGGGTGCAAAACGTTCAAAACCACGGTGTTGCGGTCCGTGTTTCCATTAAAGACCTGGAGCAGGTAAATGATCCAGAAGTGTTAAGGTTAAACTAGTTAGTTACATGTGGAGGGTAACAACAGTGTTGCTAAGTTTTTAATTTGGGCCTGAGGTTTTGAGAGAATTTCATGTTACCGAGTCGAGATTGAATTAGTTAATTGCTTGAGTTTGTTTTGCAACGATTTTCATTTTTTTCCATACCTTGCTGTTCTGATAAAATGTATAGGTGGTTCCGTCGCTGCTGTAGGAGATAGTAAAGCTCGTAACCCATTGATCCGCGTCTTGTCGTCCCTGGATCTGTATTCCTGTCACCTCGGTTTTAGCTCCAAGATCCACTTGTAGCCACTGATTAACGTCATTGGTGCGGGCGGACCATGCGCCAGTCTTACCTCCTCCGGCCTTGAAATTGAGTCTGCCATTGGTGGCGCCGTGTACAGCGTTATATTCGGTTGAAGCTGTGATCTGGCCATCGGTTATTTTTCTGCTCTCCATCCCGAGAGGGTCGGAACATGCTATACAAAGAGGATACATTTGCTTCGACAACTATAGTGCTAGTTGATGTTCAACTGTTTTTGCACGATTATTGCGTTAAGGACTTGCAATTTGGATGCCTACTTGCTCTTTCCTGTGGTGTATCATTCACAGCACAATGTAGGAAAAGTTGTTGTAAAAGTTCCACATGCAACAAAGTTGTTTTAAAGTCTCATTGTCGCTAAAGCGTTGTTTGTAAAATTGCATTTGGTTAAAAATAGATCCGTTTTGATTTTGGCAGCCCACATATTTGCTATGCATGTTCCTTAGTTTAAAGGCACGACGCGTCATTCCATAAAATTGATTACGTAATGGCAAAAGAAATTGTTTGAGCCTGTGACTTTCTAATAATAAGAGGAGTGACCTGCAGTTGAAAGACTATGCGAGTAAATTGTGTACCGCTGTGGTAAAAGTAAGTGGGAAGTTGTTTGTTAATTAAGAAGAAAACGAACAAGATTGTCAGTACCTGACGGACATCCCAATAGTTCCATCCTCATAGAAATATGGCCACGCCACGTCTTAGGATGCACCCGAATGTAGCGTGCATTTATGGAAGGGTGCAAAACGTTCAAAACCACGGTGTTGCGGTCCGTGTTTCCATTAAAGACCTGGAGCAGGTAAATGATCGAGAAGTGTTAAGGTTAAACTAGTTAGTTACTTGTGGAGAGTAACAAACAGTGTTGCTTAGTTTTTAATGTAACCTTAAGGTTTTGAGAGAATTTCATTTTACCGAGTCGAAATTGAATTAGTTAATTGCTTGAGTTTGTTTTGCAACGATTTTCATTTTTTTCCATACCTTGCTGTTCTGATAAAATGTATAGGTGGTTCCGTCGCTGCTGTAGGAGATAGTAAAGCTCGTAACCCATTGATCTGCGTCTTGTCGTCCCTGGATCTGTATTCCTGTCACCTCGGTTTTAGCTCCAAGATCCACTTGTAGCCACTGATTAACGTCATTGGTGCGGGCGGACCATGCGCCAGTCTTACCTCCTCCAGCCTTGAAATTGAGTCTGCCATTGGTGGCGCCGTGTACAGCGTTATATTCGGTTGAAGCTGTGATCTGGCGATCGGTTATTTTTCTGCTCTCCATCCCAAGAGGGTCGGAACATGCTATACAAAGAGAATACATTTGCTTAGACAACTATAGTGCTAGTTGATGTTCAATTATTTTTGCACGATTCTTGCGTTAAGGACTTGCAATTTGGATGCCTACTTGCACTTTTCTGTGGTGTATCATTCACAGCACAATGTAGGAAAAATTGTTGTAAAAGTTCCACATGCAACAAAGTTGTTTTAAAGTGTCATTGTCGCTAAAGTGTTGTTTGTAAAATTGCATTTGTTTAAAAATAGATCCTTTTTGATTTTGGCAGCCCACGTATTTGCTATGCATGATCCTTAGTTTAAAGGCACGACGCGTCATTCCATAAAATTGATTACATAATTGTAAAAGAAATTGTTTGGGCCTGTGACTTTCTAATAATAAGAGGAGTGACCTGCAGTTGAAAGACTATGCGAGTAAATTGTGTACCGCTGTGGTAAAAGTAAGTGGGAAGTTGTTTGTTAATTAAGAAGAAAACGAACAAGATTGTCAGTACCTGACGGACATCCCAATAGTTCCATCCTCATAGAAATATGGCCACGCCACGTCTTAGGATGCACCCGAATGTAGCGTGCATTTATGGAAGGGTGCAAAACGTTCAAAACCACGGTGTTGCGGTCCGTGTTTCCATTAAAGACCTGGAGCAGGTAAATGATCGAGAAGTGTTAAGGTTAAACTAGTTAGTTACTTGTGGAGAGTAACAAACAGTGTTGCTTAGTTTTTAATGTAACCTTAAGGTTTTGAGAGAATTTCATTTTACCGAGTCGAGATTGAATTAGTTAATTGCTTGAGTTTGTTTTGCAACGATTTTCATTTTTTCCATACCTTGCTGTTCTGATAAAATGTATAGGTGGTTCCGTCGCTGCTGTAGGAGATAGTAAAGCTCGTAACCCATTGATCCGCGTCTTGTCGTCCCTGGATCTGTATTCCTGTCACCTCGGTTTTAGCTCCAAGATCCACTTGTAGCCACTGATTAACGTCATTGGTGCGGGCGGACCATGCGCCAGTCTTACCTCCTCCAGCCTTGAAATTGAGTCTGCCATTGGTGGCGCCGTGTACAGCGTTATATTCGGTTGAAGCTGTGATCTGGCCATCGGTTATTTTTCTGCTCTCCATCCCGAGAGGGTCGGAACATCCTATACAAAGAGAACACATTTGCTTAGACAACTATAGTGCTAGTTGATGTTCAACTGTTCTTGCACGATTATTGCGTTAAGGAATTGCAATTTGAATACCTACTTTCACTTTTCTGTGGTGTATCATTCACAGAACAATGTAGGAAAAATTGTTGTAAAAGTTCCACATGCAACAAAGTTGTTTTAAAGTCTCATTTTCGCTAAAGCGTTGTATGTAAAATTGCATTTGTTTAAAAATAGATCTTTTTTGATTTTGACAGGCCACGTATTTCCTATCCATGATCCTTAGTTTAAAGGCACGACGCGTCATTCCATAAAATTGATTACATAATTGTAAAAGAAATTGTTTGGGCCTGTGACTTTCTAATAATAAGAGGAGTGACCTGCAGTTGAAAGACTATGCGAGTAAATTGTGTACCGCTGTGGTAAAAGTAAGTGGGAAGTTGTTTGTTAATTAAGAAGAAAACGAACAAGATTGTCAGTACCTGACGGACATCCCAATAGTTCCATCCTCATAGAAATATGGCCATGCCACGTCTTAGGATGCACCCGAATGTAGCGTGCATTTATGGAAGGGTGCAAAACGTTCAAAACCACGGTGTTGCGGTCCGTGTTTCCATTAAAGACCTGGAGCAGGTAAATGATCCAGAAGTGTTAAGGTTAAACTAGTTAGTTACTTGTGGAGGGTAACAACAGTGTTGCTAAGTTTTTAATTTGGGCCTGAGGTTTTGAGAGAATTTCATGTTACCGAGTCGAGATTGAATTAGTTAATTGCTTGAGTTTGTTTTGCAACGATTTTCATTTTTTTCCATACCTTGCTGTTCTGATAAAATGTATAGGTGGTTCCGTCGCTGCTGTAGGAGATAGTAAAGCTCGTAACCCATTGATCCGCGTCTTGTCGTCCCTGGATCTGTATTCCTGTCACCTCGGTTTTAGCTCCAAGATCCACTTGTAGCCACTGATTAACGTCATTGGTGCGGGCGGACCATGCGCCAGTCTTACCTCCTCCAGCCTTGAAATTGAGTCTGCCATTGGTGGCGCCGTGTACAGCGTTATATTCGGTTGAAGCTGTGATCTGGCCATCGGTTATTTTTCTGCTCTCCATCCCGAGAGGGTCGGAACATCCTATACAAAGAGAATACATTTGCTTAGACAACTATAGTGCTAGTTGATGTTCAACTGTTCTTGCACGATTATTGCGTTAAGGAATTGCAATTTGAATGCCTACTTTTCTTTTTTCTGTGGTGTATCATTCACAGCACAATGTAGGAAAAATTGTTGTAAAAGTTCCACATGCAACAAAGTTGTTTTAAAGTCTCATTGTCGCTAAAGCGTTGTATGTAAAATTTCATTTGTTTAAAAATAGATCTTTTTTGATTTTGATAGGCCACGTATTTCCTATGCATGATCCTTAGTTTAAAGGCACGACGCGTCATTCCATAAAATTGATTACATAATTGTAAAAGAAATTGTTTGGGCCTGTGACTTTCTAATAATAAGAGGAGTGACCTGCAGTTGAAAGACTATGCGAGTAAATTGTGTACCGCTGTGGTAAAAGTAAGTGGGAAGTTGTTTGTTAATTAAGAAGAAAACGAACAAGATTGTCAGTACCTGACGGACATCCCAATAGTTCCATCCTCATAGAAATATGGCCACGCCACGTCTTAGGATGCACCTGAATGTAGCGTGCATTTATGGAAGGGTGCAAAACGTTCAAAACCACGGTGTTGCGGTCCGTGTTTCCATTAAAGACCTGGAGCAGGTAAATGATCGAGAAGTGTTAAGGTTAAACTAGTTAGTTACTTGTGGAGAGTAACAAACAGTGTTGCTTAGTTTTTAATGTAACCTTAAGGTTTTGAGAGAATTTCATTTTACCGAGTCGAGATTGAATTAGTTAATTGCTTGAGTTTGTTTTGCAACGATTTTCATTTTTTTCCATACCTTGCTGTTCTGATAAAATGTATAGGTGGTTCCGTCGCTGCTGTAGGAGATAGTAAAGCTCGTAACCCATTGATGTGCGTCTTGTCGTCCCTGGATCTGTATTCCTGTCACCTCGGTTTTAGCTCCAAGATCCACTTGTAGCCACTGATTAACGTCATTGGTGCGGGCGGACCATGCGCCAGTCTTACCTCCTCCAGCCTTGAAATTGAGTCTGCCATTGGTGGCGCCGTGTACAGCGTTATATTCGGTTGAAGCTGTGATCTGGCCATCGGTTATTTTTTCTGCTCTCCATCCCAAGAGGGTCGGAACATGCTATACAAAGAGAACACATTTGCTTAGACAACTATAGTGCTAGTTGATGTTCAATTATTTTTGCACGATTATTGCGTTAAGGACTTGCAATTTGGATGCCTACTTGCACTTTTCTGTGGTGTATCATTCACAGCACAATGTAGGAAAAATTGTTGTAAAAGTTCCACATGCAACAAAGTTGTTTTAAAGTGTCATTGTCGCTAAAGCGTTGTTTGTAAAATTCCATTTGTTTAGAAATAGATCCTTTTTGATTTTGGCAGCCCACGTATTTGTTATGCATGATCCTTAGTTTAAAGGCACGACGCGTCATTCCATAAAATTGATTACATAATTGTAAAAGAAATTGTTTGGGCCTGTGACTTTCTAATAATAAGAGGAGGACCTGCAGTTGAAAGACTATGCGAGTAAATTGTGTACCGCTGTGGTAAAAGTAAGTGGGAAGTTGTTTGTTAATTAAGAAGAAAACGAACAAGATTGTCAGTACCTGACGGACATCCCAATAGTTCCATCCTCATAGAAATATGGCCACGCCACGTCTTAGGATGCACCTGAATGTAGCGTGCATTTATGGAAGGGTGCAAAACGTTCAAAACCACGGTGTTGCGGTCCGTGTTTCCATTAAAGACCTGGAGCAGGTAAATGATCGAGAAGTGTTAAGGTTAAACTAGTTAGTTACTTGTGGAGAGTAACAAACAGTGTTGCTTAGTTTTTAATGTAACCTTAAGGTTTTGAGAGAATTTCATTTTACCGAGTCGAGATTGAATTAGTTAATTGCTTGAGTTTGTTTTGCAACGATTTTCATTTTTTTCCATACCTTGCTGTTCTGATAAAATGTATAGGTGGTTCCGTCGCTGCTGTAGGAGATAGTAAAGCTCGTAACCCATTGATCCGCGTCTTGTCGTCCCTGGATCTGTATTCCTGTCACCTCGGTTTTAGCTCCAAGATCCACTTGTAGCCACTGATTAACGTCATTGGTGCGGGCGGACCATGCGCCAGTCTTACCTCCTCCAGCCTTGAAATTGAGTCTGCCATTGGTGGCGCCGTGTACAGCGTTATATTCCGTTGAAGCTGTGATCTGGCGATCGGTTATTTTTCTGCTCTCCATCCCGAGAGGGTCGGAACATCCTATACAAAGAGAATACATTTGCTTAGACAACTATAGTGCTAGTTGATATTCAACTGTTCTTGCACGATTATTGCGTTAAGGAATTGCAATTTGAATGCCTACTTTCACTTTTCTGTGGTGTATCATTCACAGCACAATGTAGGAAAAATTGTTGTAAAAGTTCCACATGCAACAAAGTTGTTTTAAAGTCTCATTGTCGCTAAAGCGTTGTATGTAAAATTGCATTTGTTTAAAAATAGATCTTTTTTGATTTTGACAGGCCACGTATTTCCTATGCATGATCCTTAGTTTAAAGGCACGACGCGTCATTCCATAAAATTGATTACATAATTGTAAAAGAAATTGTTTGGGCCTGTGACTTTCTAATAATAAGAGGAGTGACCTGCAGTTGAAAGACTATGCGAGTAAATTGTGTACCGCTGTGGTAAAAGTAAGTGGGAAGTTGTTTGTTAATTAAGAAGAAAACGAACAAGATTGTCAGTACCTGACGGACATCCCAATAGTTCCATCCTCATAGAAATATGGCCACGCCACGTCTTAGGATGCACCCGAATGTAGCGTGCATTTATGGAAGGGTGCAAAACGTTCAAAACCACGGTGTTGCGGTCCGTGTTTCCATTAAAGACCTGGAGCAGGTAAATGATCGAGAAGTGTTAAGGTTAAACTAGTTAGTTACTTGTGGAGAGTAACAAACAGTGTTGCTTAGTTTTTAATGTAACCTTAAGGTTTTGAGAGAATTTCATTTTACCGAGTCGAGATTGAATTAGTTAATTGCTTGAGTTTGTTTTGCAACGATTTTCATTTTTTTCCATACCTTGCTGTTCTGATAAAATGTATAGGTGGTTCCGTCGCTGCTGTAGGAGATAGTAAAGCTCGTAACCCATTGATCCGCGTCTTGTCGTCCCTGGATCTGTATTCCTGTCACCTCGGTTTTAGCTCCAAGATCCACTTGTAGCCACTGATTAACGTCATTGGTGCGGGCGGACCATGCGCCAGTCTTACCTCCTCCGGCCTTGAAATTGAGTCTGCCATTGGTGGCGCCGTGTACAGCGTTATATTCGGTTGAAGCTGTGATCTGGCCATCGGTTATTTTTCTGCTCTCCATCCCGAGAGGGTCGGAACATGCTATACAAAGAGGATACATTTGCTTAGACAACTATAGTGCTAGTTGATGTTCAACTGTTTTTGCACGATTATTGCGTTAAGGACTTGCAATTTGGATGCCTACTTGCACTTTCCTGTGGTGTATCATTCACAGCACAATGTAGGAAAATTGTTGTAAAAGTTCCACATGCAACAAAGTTGTTTTAAAGTCTCATTGTCGCTAAAGCGTTGTTTGTAAAATTGCATTTGGTTAAAAAAAATAGATCCGTTTTGATTTTGGCAGCCCACATATTTGCTATGCATGTTCCTTAGTTTAAAGGCACGACGCGTCATTCCATAAAATTGATTACATAATGGTAAAAGAAATTGTTTGAGCCTGTGACTTTCTAATAATAAGAGGAGTGACCTGCAGTTGAAAGACTATGCGAGTAAATTGTGTACCGCTGTGGTAAAAGTAAGTGGGAAGTTGTTTGTTAATTAAGAAGAAAACGAACAAGATTGTCAGTACCTGACGGACATCCCAATAGTTCCATCCTCATAGAAATATGGCCACGCCACGTCTTAGGATGCACCCGAATGTAGCGTGCATTTATGGAAGGGTGCAAAACGTTCAAAACCACGGTGTTGCGGTCCGTGTTTCCATTAAAGACCTGGAGCAGGTAAATGATCGAGAAGTGTTAAGGTTAAACTAGTTAGTTACTTGTGGAGAGTAACAAACAGTGTTGCTTAGTTTTTAATGTAACCTTAAGGTTTTGAGAGAATTTCATTTTACCGAGTCGAAATTGAATTAGTTAATTGCTTGAGTTTGTTTTGCAACGATTTTCATTTTTTTCCATACCTTGCTGTTCTGATAAAATGTATAGGTGGTTCCGTCGCTGCTGTAGGAGATAGTAAAGCTCGTAACCCATTGATCTGCGTCTTGTCGTCCCTGGATCTGTATTCCTGTCACCTCGGTTTTAGCTCCAAGATCCACTTGTAGCCACTGATTAACGTCATTGGTGCGGGCGGACCATGCGCCAGTCTTACCTCCTCCAGCCTTGAAATTGAGTCTGCCATTGGTGGCGCCGTGTACAGCGTTATATTCGGTTGAAGCTGTGATCTGGCCATCGGTTATTTTTCTGCTCTCCATCCCGAGAGGGTCGGAACATGCTATACAAAGAGAATACATTTGCTTAGACAACTATAGTGCTAGTTGATGTTCAATTATTTTTGCACGATTATTGCGTTAAGGACTTGCAATTTGGATGCCTACTTGCACTTTTCTGTGGTGTATCATTCACAGCACAATGTAGGAAAAATTGTTGTAAAAGTTCCACATGCAACAAAGTTGTTTTAAAGTGTCATTGTCGCTAAAGTGTTGTTTGTAAAATTGCATTTGTTTAAAAATAGATCTTTTTTTGATTTTGGCAGCCCACGTATTTGCTATGCATGATCCTTAGTTTAAAGGCACGACGCGTCATTCCATAAAATTGATTACATAATTGTAAAAGAAATTGTTTGGGCCTGTGACTTTCTAATAATAAGAGGAGTGACCTGCAGTTGAAAGACTATGCGAGTAAATTGTGTACCGCTGTGGTAAAAGTAAGTGGGAAGTTGTTTGTTAATTAAGAAGAAAACGAACAAGATTGTCAGTACCTGACGGACATCCCAATAGTTCCATCCTCATAGAAATATGGCCACGCCACGTCTTAGGATGCACCCGAATGTAGCGTGCATTTATGGAAGGGTGCAAAACGTTCAAAACCACGGTGTTGCGGTCCGTGTTTCCATTAAAGACCTGGAGCAGGTAAATGATCGAGAAGTGTTAAGGTTAAACTAGTTAGTTACTTGTGGAGAGTAACAAACAGTGTTGCTTAGTTTTTAATGTAACCTTAAGGTTTTGAGAGAATTTCATTTTACCGAGTCGAGATTGAATTAGTTAATTGCTTGAGTTTGTTTTGCAACGATTTTCATTTTTTTCCATACCTTGCTGTTCTGATAAAATGTATAGGTGGTTCCGTCGCTGCTGTAGGAGATAGTAAAGCTCGTAACCCATTGATCCGCGTCTTGTCGTCCCTGGATCTGTATTCCTGTCACCTCGGTTTTAGCTCCAAGATCCACTTGTAGCCACTGATTAACGTCATTGGTGCGGGCGGACCATGCGCCAGTCTTACCTCCTCCAGCCTTGAAATTGAGTCTGCCATTGGTGGCGCCGTGTACAGCGTTATATTCGGTTGAAGCTGTGATCTGGCCATCGGTTATTTTTCTGCTCTCCATCCCGAGAGGGTCGGAACATCCTATACAAAGAGAACACATTTGCTTAGACAACTATAGTGCTAGTTGATGTTCAACTGTTCTTGCACGATTATTGCGTTAAGGAATTGCAATTTGAATACCTACTTTCACTTTTCTGTGGTGTATCATTCACAGAACAATGTAGGAAAAATTGTTGTAAAAGTTCCACATGCAACAAAGTTGTTTTAAAGTCTCATTTTCGCTAAAGCGTTGTATGTAAAATTGCATTTGTTTAAAAATAGATCTTTTTTGATTTTGACAGGCCACGTATTTCCTATCCATGATCCTTAGTTTAAAGGCACGACGCGTCATTCCATAAAATTGATTACATAATTGTAAAAGAAATTGTTTGGGCCTGTGACTTTCTAATAATAAGAGGAGTGACCTGCAGTTGAAAGACTATGCGAGTAAATTGTGTACCGCTGTGGTAAAAGTAAGTGGGAAGTTGTTTGTTAATTAAGAAGAAAACGAACAAGATTGTCAGTACCTGACGGACATCCCAATAGTTCCATCCTCATAGAAATATGGCCACGCCACGTCTTAGGATGCACCTGAATGTAGCGTGCATTTATGGAAGGGTGCAAAACGTTCAAAACCACGGTGTTGCGGTCCGTGTTTCCATTAAAGACCTGGAGCAGGTAAATGATCCAGAAGTGTTAAGGTTAAACTAGTTAGTTACTTGTGGAGGGTAACAAACAGTGTTGCTAAGTTTTTAATTTGGGCCTGAGGTTTTGAGAGAATTTCATGTTACCGAGTCGAGATTGAATTAGTTAATTGCTTGAGTTTGTTTTGCAACGATTTTCATTTTTTTCCATACCTTGCTGTTCTGATAAAATGTATAGGTGGTTCCGTCGCTGCTGTAGGAGATAGTAAAGCTCGTAACCCATTGATCCGCGTCTTGTCGTCCCTGGATCTGTATTCCTGTCACCTCGGTTTTAGCTCCAAGATCCACTTGTAGCCACTGATTAACGTCATTGGTGCGGGCGGACCATGCGCCAGTCTTACCTCCTCCAGCCTTGAAATTGAGTCTGCCATTGGTGGCGCCGTGTACAGCGTTATATTCGGTTGAAGCTGTGATCTGGCCATCGGTTATTTTTCTGCTCTCCATCCCGAGAGGGTCGGAACATCCTATACAAAGAGAATACATTTGCTTAGACAACTATAGTGCTAGTTGATGTTCAACTGTTCTTGCACGATTATTGCGTTAAGGAATTGCAATTTGAATGCCTACTTTCACTTTTCTGTGGTGTATCATTCACAGCACAATGTAGGAAAAATTGTTGTAAAAGTTCCACATGCAACAAAGTTGTTTTAAAGTCTCATTGTCGCTAAAGCGTTGTATGTAAAATTTCATTTGTTTAAAAATAGATCTTTTTTGATTTTGATAGGCCACGTATTTCCTATGCATGATCCTTAGTTTAAAGGCACGACGCGTCATTCCATAAAATTGATTACATAATTGTAAAAGAAATTGTTTGGGCCTGTGACTTTCTAATAATAAGAGGAGTGACCTGCAGTTGAAAGACTATGCGAGTAAATTGTGTACCGCTGTGGTAAAAGTAAGTGGGAAGTTGTTTGTTAATTAAGAAGAAAACGAACAAGATTGTCAGTACCTGACGGACATCCCAATAGTTCCATCCTCATAGAAATATGGCCACGCCACGTCTTAGGATGCACCCGAATGTAGCGTGCATTTATGGAAGGGTGCAAAACGTTCAAAACCACGGTGTTGCGGTCCGTGTTTCCATTAAAGACCTGGAGCAGGTAAATGATCGAGAAGTGTTAAGGTTAAACTAGTTCGTTACTTGTGGAGGGTAACAACAGTGTTGCTAAGTTTTTAATTTGGGCCTGAGGTTTTGAGAGAATTTCATGTTACCGAGTCGAGATTGAATTAGTTAATTGCTTGAGTTTGTTTTGCAACGATTTTCATTTTTTTCCATACCTTGCTGTTCTGATAAAATGTATAGGTGGTTCCGTCGCTGCTGTAGGAGATAGTAAAGCTCGTAACCCATTGATCCGCGTCTTGTCGTCCCTGGATCTGTATTCCTGTCACCTCGGTTTTAGCTCCAAGATCCACTTGTAGCCACTGATTAACGTCATTGGTGCGGGCGGACCATGCGCCAGTCTTACCTCCTCCGGCCTTGAAATTGAGTCTGCCATTGGTGGCGCCGTGTACAGCGTTATATTCGGTTGAAGCTGTGATCTGGCCATCGGTTATTTTTCTGCTCTCCATCCCGAGAGGGTCGGAACATGCTATACAAAGAGGATACATTTGCTTAGACAACTATAGTGCTAGTTGATGTTCAACTGTTCTTGCACGATTATTGCGTTAAGGAATTGCAATTTGAATGCCTACTTTCACTTTTCTGTGGTGTATCATTCACAGCACAATGTAGGAAAAATTGTTGTAAAAGTTCCACATGCAACAAAGTTGTTTTAAAGTGTCATTGTCGCTAAAGCGTTGTTTGTAAAATTGCATTTGGTTAAAAATAGATCCTTTTTGATTTTGGCAGCCCACGTATTTGCTATGCATGTTCCTTAGTTTATAGGCACGACGCGTCATTCCATAAAATTGATTACATAATGGCAAAAGAAATTGTTTGAGCCTGTGACTTTCTAATAATAAGAGGAGTGACCTGCAGTTGAAAGACTATGCGAGTAAATTGTGTACCGCTGTGGTAAACGTAAGAGGGAAGTTGTTTGTTAAGTAAGAAGAAAACGAACAAGATTGTCAGTACCTGACGGACATCCCAATAGTTCCATCCTCATAGAAATATGGCCACGCCACGTCTTAGGATGCACCCGAATGTAGCGTGCATTTATGGAAGGGTGCAAAACGTTCAAAACCACGGTGTTGCGGTCCGTGTTTCCATTAAAGACCTGGAGCAGGTAAATGATCGAGAAGTGTTAAGGTTAAACTAGTTAGTTACTTGTGGAGAGTAACAAACAGTGTTGCTTAGTTTTTAATGTAACCTTAAGGTTTTGAGAGAATTTCATTTTACTGAGTCGAAATTGAATTAGTTAATTGCTTGAGTTTGTTTTGCAACGATTTTCATTTTTTTCCATACCTTGCTGTTCTGATAAAATGTATAGGTGGTTCCGTCGCTGCTGTAGGAGATAGTAAAGCTCGTAACCCATTGATCTGCGTCTTGTCGTCCCTGGATCTGTATTCCTGTCACCTCGGTTTTAGCTCCAAGATCCACTTGTAGCCACTGATTAACGTCATTGGTGCGGGCGGACCATGCGCCAGTCTTACCTCCTCCAGCCTTGAAATTGAGTCTGCCATTGGTGGCGCCGTGTACAGCGTTATATTCGGTTGAAGCTGTGATCTGGCGATCGGTTATTTTTCTGCTCTCCATCCCAAGAGGGTCGGAACATCCTATACAAAGAGAATACATTTGCTTAGACAACTATAGTGCTAGTTGATGTTCAATTGTTTTTGCACGATTATTGCGTTAAGGACTTGCAATTTGGATTCCTACTTGCACTTTTCTGTGGTGTATCATTCACAGCACAATGTAGGAAAAATTGTTGTAAAAGTTCCACATGCAACAAAGTTGTTTTAAAGTCTCATTGTCGCTAAAGCGTTGTTTGTAAAATTGCATTTGTTTAAAAATAGATCCTTTTTGATTTGGGCAGCCCACGTATTTGCTATGCATGATCCTTAGTTTAAAGGCACGACGCGTCATTCCATAAAATTGATTACATAATTGTAAAAGAAATTGTTTGGGCCTGTGACTTTCTAATAATAAGAGGAGTGACCTGCAGTTGAAAGACTATGCGAGTAAATTGTGTACCGCTGTGGTAAACGTAAGAGGGAAGTTGTTTGTTAAGTAAGAAGAAAACGAACAAGATTGTCAGTACCTGACGGACATCCCAATAGTTCCATCCTCATAGAAATATGGCCACGCCACGTCTTAGGATGCACCCGAATGTAGCGTGCATTTATGGAAGGGTGCAAAACGTTCAAAACCACGGTGTTGCGGTCCGTGTTTCCATTAAAGACCTGGAGCAGGTAAATGATCGAGAAGTGTTAAGGTTAAACTAGTTAGTTACTTGTGGAGAGTAACAAACAGTGTTGCTTAGTTTTTAATGTAACCTTAAGGTTTTGAGAGAATTTCATTTTACTGAGTCGAAATTGAATTAGTTAATTGCTTGAGTTTGTTTTGCAACGATTTTCATTTTTTTCCATACCTTGCTGTTCTGATAAAATGTATAGGTGGTTCCGTCGCTGCTGTAGGAGATAGTAAAGCTCGTAACCCATTGATCCGCGTCTTGTCGTCCCTGGATCTGTATTCCTGTCACCTCGGTTTTAGCTCCAAGATCCACTTGTAGCCACTGATTAACGTCATTGGTGCGGGCGGACCATGCGCCAGTCTTACCTCCTCCAGCCTTGAAATTGAGTCTGCCATTGGTGGCGCCGTGTACAGCGTTATATTCGGTTGAAGCTGTGATCTGGCGATCGGTTATTTTTCTGCTCTCCATCCCGAGAGGGTCGGAACATCCTATACAAAGAGAATACATTTGCTTAGACAACTATAGTGCTAGTTGATGTTCAACTGTTCTTGCACGATTATTGCGTTAAGGAATTGCAATTTGAATGCCTACTTTCACTTTTCTGTGGTGTATCATTCACAGCACAATGTAGGAAAAAATTGTTGTAAAAGTTCCACATGCAACAAAGTTGTTTTAAAGTCTCATTGTCGCTAAAGCGTTGTATGTAAAATTGCATTTGTTTAAAAATAGATCTTTTTGATTTTGACAGGCCACGTATTTCCTATGCATGATCCTTAGTTTAAAGGCATGACGCGTCATTCCATAAAATTGATTACATAATTGTAAAAGAAATTGTTTGGGCCTTTGACTTTCTAATAATAAGAGGAGTGACCTGCAGTTGAAAGACTATGCGAGTAAATTGTGTACCGCTGTGGTAAAAGTAAGTGGGAAGTTGTTTGTTAATTAAGAAGAAAACGAACAAGATTGTCAGTACCTGACGGACATCCCAATAGTTCCATCCTCATAGAAATATGGCCACGCCACGTCTTAGGATGCACCCGAATGTAGCGTGCATTTATGGAAGGGTGCAAAACGTTCAAAACCACGGTGTTGCGGTCCGTGTTTCCATTAAAGACCTGGAGCAGGTAAATGATCGAGAAGTGTTAAGGTTAAACTAGTTAGTTACTTGTGGAGAGTAACAAACAGTGTTGCTTAGTTTTTAATGTAACCTTAAGGTTTTGAGAGAATTTCATTTTACTGAGTCGAAATTGAATCAGTTAATTGCTTGAGTTTGTTTTGCAACGATTTTCATTTTTTTTCCATACCTTGCTGTTCTGATAAAATGTATAGGTGGTTCCGTCGCTGCTGTAGGAGATAGTAAAGCTCGTAACCCATTGATCTGCGTCTTGTCGTCCCTGGATCTGTATTCCTGTCACCTCGGTTTTAGCTCCAAGATCCACTTGTAGCCACTGATTAACGTCATTGGTGCGGGCGGACCATGCGCCAGTCTTACCTCCTCCAGCCTTGAAATTGAGTCTGCCATTGGTGGCGCCGTGTACAGCGTTATATTCGGTTGAAGCTGTGATCTGGCGATCGGTTATTTTTTCTGCTCTCCATCCCAAGAGGGTCGGAACATGCTATACAAAGAGAATACATTTGCTTAGACAACTATAGTGCTAGTTGATGTTCAATTGTTTTTGCACGATTATTGCGTTAAGGACTTGCAATTTGGATTCCTACTTGCACTTTTCTGTGGTGTATCATTCACAGCACAATGTAGGAAAAATTGTTGTAAAAGTTCCACATGCAACAAAGTTGTTTTAAAGTCTCATTGTCGCTAAAGCGTTGTATGTAAAATTGCATTTGTTTAAAAATAGATCTTTTTTGATTTTGACAGGCCACGTATTTCCTATGCATGATCCTTAGTTTAAAGGCATGACGCGTCATTCCATAAAATTGATTACATAATTGTAAAAGAAATTGTTTGGGCCTTTGACTTTCTAATAATAAGAGGAGTGACCTGCAGTTGAAAGACTATGCGAGTAAATTGTGTACCGCTGTGGTAAAAGTAAGTGGGAAGTTGTTTGTTAATTAAGAAGAAAACGAACAAGATTGTCAGTACCTGACGGACATCCCAATAGTTCCATCCTCATAGAAATATGGCCACGCCACGTCTTAGGATGCACCCGAATGTAGCGTGCATTTATGGAAGGGTGCAAAACGTTCAAAACCACGGTGTTGCGGTCCGTGTTTCCATTAAAGACCTGGAGCAGGTAAATGATCGAGAAGTGTTAAGGTTAAACTAGTTAGTTACTTGTGGAGAGTAACAAACAGTGTTGCTTAGTTTTTAATGTAACCTTAAGGTTTTGAGAGAATTTCATTTTACTGAGTCGAAATTGAATTAGTTAATTGCTTGAGTTTGTTTTGCAACGATTTTCATTTTTTTCCATACCTTGCTGTTCTGATAAAATGTATAGGTGGTTCCGTCGCTGCTGTAGGAGATAGTAAAGCTCGTAACCCATTGATCTGCGTCTTGTCGTCCCTGGATCTGTATTCCTGTCACCTCGGTTTTAGCTCCAAGATCCACTTGTAGCCACTGATTAACGTCATTGGTGCGGGCGGACCATGCGCCAGTCTTACCTCCTCCAGCCTTGAAATTGAGTCTGCCATTGGTGGCGCCGTGTACAGCGTTATATTCGGTTGAAGCTGTGATCTGGCGATCGGTTATTTTTCTGCTCTCCATCCCAAGAGGGTCGGAACATGCTATACAAAGAGAATACATTTGCTTAGACAACTATAGTGCTAGTTGATGTTCAATTGTTTTTGCACGATTATTGCGTTAAGGACTTGCAATTTGGATTCCTACTTGCACTTTTCTGTGGTGTATCATTCACAGCACAATGTAGGAAAAATTGTTGTAAAAGTTCCACATGCAACAAAGTTGTTTTAAAGTGTCATTGTCGCTAAAGCGTTGTTTGTAAAATTGCATTTGTTTAAAAATAGATCCTTTTTGATTTTGGCAGCCCACGTATTTGCTATGCATGATCCTTAGTTTAAAGGCACGACGCGTCATTCCATAAAATTGATTACATAATTGTAAAAGAAATTGTTTGGGCCTGTGACTTTCTAATAATAAGAGGAGTGACCTGCAGTTGAAAGACTATGCGAGTAAATTGTGTACCGCTGTGGTAAAAGTAAGTGGGAAGTTGTTTGTTAATTAAGAAGAAAACGAACAAGATTGTCAGTACCTGACGGACATCCCAATAGTTCCATCCTCATAGAAATATGGCCACGCCACGTCTTAGGATGCACCCGAATGTAGCGTGCATTTATGGAAGGGTGCAAAACGTTCAAAACCACGGTGTTGCGGTCCGTGTTTCCATTAAAGACCTGGAGCAGGTAAATGATCGAGAAGTGTTAAGGTTAAACTAGTTAGTTACTTGTGGAGAGTAACAAACAGTGTTGCTTAGTTTTTAATGTAACCTTAAGGTTTTGAGAGAATTTCATTTTACTGAGTCGAAATTGAATTAGTTAATTGCTTGAGTTTGTTTTGCAACGATTTTCATTTTTTTCCATACCTTGCTGTTCTGATAAAATGTATAGGTGGTTCCGTCGCTGCTGTAGGAGATAGTAAAGCTCGTAACCCATTGATCTGCGTCTTGTCGTCCCTGGATCTGTATTCCTGTCACCTCGGTTTTAGCTCCAAGATCCACTTGTAGCCACTGATTAACGTCATTGGTGCGGGCGGACCATGCGCCAGTCTTACCTCCTCCAGCCTTGAAATTGAGTCTGCCATTGGTGGCGCCGTGTACAGCGTTATATTCGGTTGAAGCTGTGATCTGGCCATCGGTTATTTTTCTGCTCTCCATCCCGAGAGGGTCGGAACATGCTATAGAAAGAGAATACATTTGCTTAGACAACTATAGTGGTAGTTGATGTTCAACTGTTTTTGGACGATTATTGCGTTAAGGACTTGCAATTTGGATGCCTACTTGCACTTTTCTGTGGTGTATCATTCACAGCACAATGTAGGAAAAATTGTTGTAAAAGTTCCACATGCAACAAAGTTGTTTTAAAGTCTCATTGTCGCTAAAGCGTTGTATGTAAAATTGCATTTGTTTAAAAATAGATCTTTTTTGATTTTGACAGGCCACGTATTTCCTATGCATGATCCTTAGTTTAAAGGCATGACGCGTCATTCCATAAAATTGATTACATAATTGTAAAAGAAATTGTTTGGGCCTGTGACTTTCCAATAATAAGAGGAGTGACCTGCAGTTGAAAGACTATGCGAGTAAATTGTGTACCGCTGTGGTAAAAGTAAGTGGGAAGTTGTTTGTTAATTAAGAAGAAAACGAACAAGATTGTCAGTACCTGACGGACATCCCAATAGTTCCATCCTCATAGAAATATGGCCACGCCACGTCTTAGGATGCACCCGAATGTAGCGTGCATTTATGGAAGGGTGCAAAACGTTCAAAACCACGGTGTTGCGGTCCGTGTTTCCATTAAAGACCTGGAGCAGGTAAATGATCGAGAAGTGTTAAGGTTAAACTAGTTAGTTACTTGTGGAGAGTAACAAACAGTGTTGCTTAGTTTTTAATGTAACCTTAAGGTTTTGAGAGAATTTCATTTTACTGAGTCGAAATTGAATTAGTTAATTGCTTGAGTTTGTTTTGCAACGATTTTCATTTTTTTCCATACCTTGCTGTTCTGATAAAATGTATAGGTGGTTCCGTCGCTGCTGTAGGAGATAGTAAAGCTCGTAACCCATTGATCCGCGTCTTGTCGTCCCTGGATCTGTATTCCTGTCACCTCGGTTTTAGCTCCAAGATCCACTTGTAGCCACTGATTAACGTCATTGGTGCGGGCGGACCATGCGCCAGTCTTACCTCCTCCAGCCTTGAAATTGAGTCTGCCATTGGTGGCGCCGTGTACAGCGTTATATTCGGTTGAAGCTGTGATCTGGCGATCGGTTATTTTTCTGCTCTCCATCCCGAGAGGGTCGGAACATCCTATACAAAGAGAATACATTTGCTTAGACAACTATAGTGCTAGTTGATATTCAACTGTTCTTGCACGATTATTGCGTTAAGGAATTGCAATTTGAATGCCTACTTTCACTTTTCTGTGGTGTATCATTCAACGCACAATGTAGGAAAAATTGTTGTAAAAGTTCCACATGCAACAAAGTTGTTTTAAAGTCTCATTGTCGCTAAAGCGTTGTATGTAAAATTGCATTTGTTTAAAAATAGATCTTTTTTGATTTTGACAGGCCACGTATTTCCTATGCATGATCCTTAGTTTAAAGGCACGACGCGTCATTCCATAAAATTGATTACATAATTGTAAAAGAAATTGTTTGGGCCTGTGACTTTCTAATAATAAGAGGAGTGACCTGCAGTTGAAAGACTATGCGAGTAAATTGTGTACCGCTGTGGTAAAAGTAAGTGGGAAGTTGTTTGTTAATTAAGAAGAAAACGAACAAGATTGTCAGTACCTGACGGACATCCCAATAGTTCCATCCTCATAGAAATATGGCCACGCCACGTCTTAGGATGCACCCGAATGTAGCGTGCATTTATGGAAGGGTGCAAAACGTTCAAAACCACGGTGTTGCGGTCCGTGTTTCCATTAAAGACCTGGAGCAGGTAAATGATCGAGAAGTGTTAAGGTTAAACTAGTTAGTTACTTGTGGAGAGTAACAAACAGTGTTGCTTAGTTTTTAATGTAATCTTAAGGTTTTGAGAGAATTTCATTTTACCGAGTCGAGATTGAATTAGTTAATTGCTTGAGTTTGTTTTGCAACGATTTTTATTTTTTTCCATACCTTGCTGTTCTGATAAAATGTATAGGTGGTTCCGTCGTTGCTGTAGGAGATAGTAAAGCTCGTAACCCATTGATCCGCGTCTTCTCGTCCCTGGATCTGTATTCCTGTCACCTCGGTTTTAGCTCCAAGATCCACTTGTAGCCACTGATTAACGTCATTGGTGCGGGCGGACCATGCGCCAGTCTTACCTCCTCCGGCCTTGAAATTGAGTCTGCCATTGGTGGCGCCGTGTACAGCGTTATATTCGGTTGAAGCTGTGATCTGGCCATCGGTTATTTTTCTGCTCTCCATCCCGAGAGGGTCGGAACATGCTATAGAAAGAGAATACATTTGCTTAGACAACTATAGTGGTAGTTGATGTTCAACTGTTTTTGGACGATTATTGCGTTAAGGACTTGCAATTTGGATGCCTACTTGCACTTTTCTGTGGTGTATCATTCACAGCACAATGTAGGAAAAATTGTTGTAAAAGTTCCACATGCAACAAAGTTGTTTTAAAGTGTCATTGTCGCTAAAGCGTTGTATGTAAAATTGCATTTCTTTAAAAATATATCCTTTTTGATTTTGGCAGCCCACGTATTTGCTATGCATGATCCTTAGTTTAAAGGCACGACGCGTCATTCCATAAAATTGATTACATAATTGTAAAAGAAATTGTTTGGGCCTGTGACTTTCTAATAATAAGAGGAGTGACCTGCAGTTGAAAGACTATGCGAGTAAATTGTGTACCGCTGTGGTAAAAGTAAGTGGGAAGTTGTTTGTTAATTAAGAAGAAAACGAACAAGATTGTCAGTACCTGACGGACATCCCAATAGTTCCATCCTCATAGAAATATGGCCACGCCACGTCTTAGGATGCACCCGAATGTAGCGTGCATTTATGGAAGGGTGCAAAACGTTCAAAACCACGGTGTTGCGGTCCGTGTTTCCATTAAAGACCTGGAGCAGGTAAATGATCGAGAAGTGTTAAGGTTAAACTAGTTAGTTACTTGTGGAAGGGTAACAAACAGTGTTGCTAAGTTTTTAATTTGGGCCTGAGGTTTTGAGAGAATTTCATGTTACCGAGTCGAGATTGAATTAGTTAATTGCTTGAGGTTGTTTTGCAACGATTTTTATTTTTTTCCATACCTTGCTGTTCTGATAAAATGTATAGGTGGTTCCGTCGCTGCTGTAGGAGATAGTAAAGCTCGTAACCCATTGATCCGCGTCTTGTCGTCCCTGGATCTGTATTCCTGTCACCTCGGTTTTAGCTCCAAGATCCACTTGTAGCCACTGATTAACGTCATTGGTGCGGGCGGACCATGCGCCAGTCTTACCTCCTCCAGCCTTGAAATTGAGTCTGCCATTGGTGGCGCCGTGTACAGCGTTATATTCGGTTGAAGCTGTGATCTGGCCATCGGTTATTTTTCTGCTCTCCATTCCGAGAGGGTCGGAACATGCTATACAAAGAGAATACATGTGCTTAGACAACTATAGTGCTATCTGATGTTCAACTGTTTTTGCACGATTATTGCGTTAAGGACTTGCAATTTGGATGCCTACTTGCACTTTTCTGTGGTGTATCATTCACAGCACAATGTAGGAAAAATTGTTGTAAAAGTTCCACATGCAACAAAGTTGTTTTAAAGTGTCATTGTCGCTAAAGCGTCGTTTGTAAAATTGCATTTGTTTAAAAATAGATCTTTTTTGATTTTGGCAGCCCACATATTTGCTATACATGATCCTTAGTTTAAAGGCACGACGCGTCATTCCATAAAATTGATTACATAATTGTAAAAGAAATTTTTTGGGCCTGTGACTTTCTAATAATAAGAGGAGTGACCTGCAGTTGAAAGACTATGCGAGTAAATTGTGTACCGCTGTGGTAAAAGTAAGTGGGAAGTTGTTTGTTAATTAAGAAGAAAACGAACAAGATTGTCAGTACCTGACGGACATCCCAATAGTTCCATCCTCATAGAAATATGGCCACGCCACGTCTTAGGATGCACCCGAATGTAGCGTGCATTTATGGAAGGGTGCAAAACGTTCAAAACCACGGTGTTGCGGTCCGTGTTTCCATTAAAGACCTGGAGCAGGTAAATGATCGAGAAGTGTTAAGGTTAAACTAGTTAGTTACTTGTGGAAGGGTAACAAACAGTGTTGCTAAGTTTTTAATTTGGGCCTGAGGTTTTGAGAGAATTTCATGTTACCGAGTCGAGATTGAATTAGTTAATTGCTTGAGGTTGTTTTGCAACGATTTTTATTTTTTTCCATACCTTGCTGTTCTGATAAAATGTATAGGTGGTTCCGTCGCTGCTGTAGGAGATAGTAAAGCTCGTAACCCATTGATCCGCGTCTTGTCGTCCCTGGATCTGTATTCCTGTCACCTCGGTTTTAGCTCCAAGATCCACTTGTAGCCACTGATTAACGTCATTGGTGCGGGCGGACCATGCGCCAGTCTTACCTCCTCCAGCCTTGAAATTGAGTCTGCCATTGGTGGCGCCGTGTACAGCGTTATATTCGGTTGAAGCTGTGATCTGGCCATCGGTTATTTTTCTGCTCTCCATCCCGAGAGGGTCGGAACATGCTATACAAAGAGAATACATTTGCTTAGACAACTATAGTGCTAGTTGATGTTCAATTGTTTTTGCACGATTATTGCGTTAAGGACTTGCAATTTGGATGCCTACTTGCACTTTTCTGTGGTGTATCATTCACAGCACAATGTAGGAAAAATTGTTGTAAAAGTTCCACATGCAACAAAGTTGTTTTAAAGTCTCATTGTCGCTAAAGCGTTGTTTGTAAAATTGCATTTGTTTAAAAATAGATCCTTTTTGATTTTGACAGCCCACGTATTTGCTATGCATGATCCTTAGTTTAAAGGCACGACGCGTCATTCCATAAAATTGATTACAGAATTGTAAAAGAAATTGTTTGGGCCTGTGACTTTCTAATAATAAGAGGAGTGACCTGCAGTTGAAAGACTATGCGAGTAAATTGTGTACCGCTGTGGTAAAAGTAAGTGGGAAGTTGTTTGTTAATTAAGAAGAAAACGAACAAGATTGTCAGTACCTGACGGACATCCCAATAGTTCCATCCTCATAGAAATATGGCCACGCCACGTCTTAGGATGCACCCGAATGTAGCGTGCATTTATGGAAGGGTGCAAAACGTTCAAAACCACGGTGTTGCGGTCCGTGTTTCCATTAAAGACCTGGAGCAGGTAAATGATCGAGAAGTGTTAAGGTTAAACTAGGTAGTTACTTGTGGAAGGGTAACAGACAGTGTTGCTAAGTTTTTAATTTGGGCCTGAGGTTTTGAGAGAATTTCATGTTACCGAGTCGAGATTGAATTAGTTAATTGCTTGAGGTTGTTTTGCAACGATTTTCATTTTTTTCCATACCTTGCTGTTCTGATAAAATGTATAGGTGGTTCCGTCGCTGCTGTAGGAGATAGTAAAGCTCGTAACCCATTGATCCGCGTCTTGTCGTCCCTGGATCTGTATTCCTGTCACCTCGGTTTTAGCTCCAAGATCCACTTGTAGCCACTGATTAACGTCATTGGTGCGGGCGGACCATGCGCCAGTCTTACCTCCTCCGGCCTTGAAATTGAGTCTGCCATTGGTGGCGCCGTGTACAGCGTTATATTCGGTTGAAGCTGTGATCTGGCCATCGGTTATTTTTCTGCTCTCCATCCCGAGAGGGTCGGAACATGCTATAGAAAGAGAATACATTTGCTTAGACGACAATAGTGTTAGTTGATGTTCAACTGTTTTTGCACGATTTTTGCGTTAAGGACTTGCAATTTGGATGCCTACTTGCACTTTTCTGTGGTGTATCATTCACAGCACAATGGAGGAAAAATTGTTGTAAAAGTTCCACATGCGACAGAGTTGTTTTAAAGTCTCATTGTCGCTAAAGCGTTGTTTGTAAAATTGCATTTCTTTAAAAATAGATCTTTTTTGATTTTGACAGGCCACGTATTTGCTATGCATGATCCTTAGTTTAAAGGCACGACGCGTCATTCCATAAAATTGATTACAGAATTGTAAAAGAAATTGTTTGGGCCTGTGACTTTCTAATAATAAGAGGAGTGACCTGCAGTTGAAAGACTATGCGAGTAAATTGTGTACCGCTGTGGTAAAAGTAAGTGGGAAGTTGTTTGTTAATTAAGAAGAAAACGAACAAGATTGTCAGTACCTGACGGACATCCCAATAGTTCCATCCTCATAGAAATATGGCCACGCCACGTCTTAGGATGCACCCGAATGTAGCGTGCATTTATGGAAGGGTGCAAAACGTTCAAAACCACGGTGTTGCGGTCCGTGTTTCCATTAAAGACCTGGAACAGGTAAATGATCGAGAAGTGTTAAGGTTAAACTAGTTAGTTACTTGTGGAGAGTAACAAACAGTGTTGCTTAGTTTTTAATGTAACCTTAAGGTTTTGAGAGAATTTCATTTTACCGAGTCGAGATTGAATTAGTTAATTGCTTGAGTTTGTTTTGCAACGATTTTCATTTTTTTCCATACCTTGCTGTTCTGATAAAATGTATAGGTGGTTCCGTCGCTGCTGTAGGAGATAGTAAAGCTCGTAACCCATTGATCCGCGTCTTGTCGTCCCTGGATCTGTATTCCTGTCACCTCGGTTTTAGCTCCAAGATCCACTTGTAGCCACTGATTAACGTCATTGGTGCGGGCGGACCATGCGCCAGTCTTACCTCCTCCAGCCTTGAAATTGAGTCTGCCATTGGTGGCGCCGTGTACAGCGTTATATTCGGTTGAAGCTGTGATCTGGCGATCGGTTATTTTTCTGCTCTCCATCCCGAGAGGGTCGGAACATGCTATAGAAAGAGAATACATGATGGTGTGTTTTTTCTTGAGGGAATTTGCAACGGTTGTCGAAAGACTACACTGTTATTTCGTTATTTTTAGAGTTTTATTCAATATTAGTGAATATGGTGAGTGAAATTTTTAAAGAGGAGAAAAAAAGAAATAAACAGTCAGTATTTTCCGAAAATTTCTTGAACGAGTTGGCCACAAAAAAATTTGCAGTTTAGTTGATTCTTTTTACAATTTTTGATTTAAGCGAAGTTGTGTAACTCGAAGTTACAGGTTTTCGGGACTGGGTTGAATGAGAAAGTTTGTATCTTACGTTCTTTTACTGTTTCTTATCTCTACTAATGTTAAATAGAAGCTATAGACTGGAAATATATTGTTGTTTCTGAAACAAAACCAATTTTGGAGATCGGCACAAACAACTTCTATTTGAATAGGAGCATGAAATTTTTGTTGTATGTAATGTGTTGCGAATTCGATGAATGTGCAAGGATTCTAGGTTAGATTCTTTCTAAGTGGAAGACTAGACCTTAGCTGTCCAAAGGTTGGATCGCGCTATCCGCCGGATAAATCTCTTTCCAGTGCCGCGTGAATAGTGCAAGAAGTTTCTCCATTACTTATCCGCTGGATAGTGATTTATCCGGTGGATAGCGCTATCCAACTTTTGAACAACCGGGACCTGAGAGACAGCTTTTTTTTAAGGTTCAGATCTGAGTCTTAAGTGAAGTTTCAGCGACCAACAAAAACCACTTTTTTGTTGTTTATTTTTGTCGGAATATTTACTATTTTTGTACGAATTTGACTTAACTGTGTACGTTCTTTCAGAGATTATTTCCTTGTTGTTAGGCTTACATTAGTCGCTTTTTGGTTATTTTTCCATTTCTTATGCCAGCGCTTGTTCCGCTACGATACCTTTTATGAAGTACGGTGTGGTTGCCAGAGACCTTATCTGACGTGATTTCCGGCTTCCGTCAAGCCTTTGTATTGACCCGCTTGTGTCGTCGGCCTTCGGAGATTTGTTGGCCAGCGGACGACACCGAAGAACCCGCCGTACCCGAGACAAAAAAAGCACTCATTAAAAAACCAATTCATTTTTATGCTTGTGACCGAATTACAGCATTGTCAGAACAACTGTATGGCCAAACACTAGCAAACCCCTTTTTTGTTTTGGATTTCCAATGTTTATTTGTAGTTGTGCAAGCCGTCGTTAGCTGGCACGTAACCCTTTCACTCCAGTGGCCACTTTTGAGAACCATTGTAGTGCCGGCCAGCTCCATGCAGTAACGGAAACCTTTTTCGCTTCCCGTGGGTGTCCGCTACCCTGGGTACCAGAGGTTTTTCTCGCGTGCGGCGGAAATTTTCGGTGTTGGCCGAAGGCCGAAGCCGCGAGAAATAGAAAAGTCTCTGGCACCCAGGGTAGTGAGACAGTGCTGAACAACGTCTGCGCATGTGCATAGACGGGAGAGGTCTGGGATCTAACCTAGTATCGTTTTCAAAGGGTTTTTCAAAACATCCTCACTTTTTGGCGATTATTAAGGTGGATTCTGAATATTTACGGTTCTCATTTAAACTAAAGGTAGATTATTTCATACTTTATTGAATTCTCGTTTCTACCCTTGTAATTTTTGTTCTACTTTTTTCTATGAACAAAAGAAGACGCACGAACGAAGCGTCCCTTCAATAATAGTATCGTTTGCAAAGGGATTTTCAAAACATCCTCACATTTTCCCGATTTTTAAGGTGGTTTCTGAATATTCAAGGCTCCCATTTAAACTAAAGGTAGATTATTTCATACTTTATTTAATTCTCGTTTCTACCCTTGTAATTTTTCTTCTATTTTTTTCTATGAACAAAAGAAGACGCACGAACGAAGCGTCCCTTCAATAATAGTATCGTTTGCAAAGGGATTTTCAAAACATCCTCACATTTTCCCGATTCTTAAGGTGGTTTCTGAATATTCAAGGCTCCCATTTAAACTAAAGGTAGATTATTTCATACTTTATTTAATTCTCGTTTCTACCTTTGTAATTTTTCTTCTACTTTCTTCTATGAACAAAAGAAGACGCACGAACGAAGAGTCCCCGCTATAAATAGTATCGTTTGCAAAAGGATTTTCAAAACATCCTCGCATTTTCCCGATTTTTAAGGTGGTTTCCGAATATTCAGGGCTCCCATTTAAACTAATAGTAGATTATTTCATACTTTATTGAATTCTCGTTTCCACCTTCGCAATTTTTCTTCCGTTTTTTGCTATGAACAAAAGAAGATGCACGGACGAAGCCGAAAACAGTTCTTTCATTCGAATGTGTACATTTTCAAGCGTAAACACATGAAAGTACAGACTATCAATATGTTATCAGTTCTAAGAAATCGTCCGGACATCATATCAGTGTCAGTATTAAAGGTACATTTTATTTATCTTTGTTTTTCCTTGAATGATGGTCTTTTAGTTATTTCTCTTGTTATATCTCGCTTGGTTTCACTGTAAGAACTGTAAGAACACAAAACAATCACTGAGGTTTCGAATTCAATCAAGTTCTTTCTTCCAAACTTGTTTCCCTTTATAACTCATTGTTAGCTCAGCTCAAAAGAGCTATTATAAATTTTTGTATATGACAACAGGCAAAATTAATGTTGAAAAGAGTAAATGGGTAAGTAATACAGTCGATGCTTGCTGGTAAAAGTATATGACTTGAAGTTCTCTAAAAGGCTTCATTACAGGGAGAAGAACTTTCATTTATTTTTGTAGTTTCTCTTCAAAGTCTAGATCTTCATTCCTTGATTCTTCTGCTTCATTCAATCCTGTCATAAATGGAAAACCTATAGTTAATACGAAAACTCACATAGAGCTGAGCCAACTTGTGATTGTTTCTCAAAACTTCAACAGGTTTAAACTTTAAAAGTTTATTCATTCTAAGCTTAAAGGTGCAAATTAAATTTTAAACAAACTTAACTGAATAAATACTGATTCTACAGCTCGAACAGCGCCTCTAAGCCGGCTAGAGGTACGAAAAAGCTTCTTTCATTGCACTAAGATTTGTAACTAAGTTTATGACTTTCATGACTTCTTGTGTCTGATGGTATCATCGCGCTCAAAGCCGGCTTTCTTGCCACCAAGAAACAGTCAACAACTGCTATCGCTCGGCCTACATTTCAAAGATTTGCACCTCCTTAACCAGAATAAAGTAATGTTTAAGTAAATCGTTTACGTACCATCGAAGAAAAGTCGCCCAAACTCCAGCACATTGCTCTTTTTTAATTTCTCAGTCATCTTTCTGCAAACTTACTGACGATCTGCATCAAAACAATGAAAAACCTTCGCCGGGACGGTCAAAAACATTTTCCTTGATCCCTGGATTACGTAACATTTCTTTCCATGAGTTGCATTTCTAACGTATTCGTAGAATTTCTCCTTCGTTGGCATTCGCAAATATGAGTTTGGATGGTCGAAGATAAAATGGTCTTGCAAGAATTTCACTTTGCCCGAATGCTTCGTGCACGGGCTAGACAAGTAAACAAGTGATGTCACGGACATGCGTAGTACGTTATTCAGCCCTGTCGGGTAGTGATAATTATTGTAATGGAGTAGACTGTTTTTGACTTTTCTCTGCATGCAGTTGTTTAAAGTTTATTGTTTAAAAAATAGTTCCGCTTTCAGTCTTGGCCATAGCCTGTTTCAGGCTCTCACATAGCTAATAGGCATGGAAAAAAGAAAAAAAAAAAAGAGAACGAGTGCGTGATCTGAGGTGTTTTTCTCAATATCGCGGACTCGACTATCTCGGAGCCTAAAACAGGCTAGCTGGGCCAGATGAATTTGGAACCTCGATGGTGACAAAAACTCCTTGTGACGAAGTCGTCGATCGGTGTAACGAACGTTATTATATGGCTGAGTCTGTTTTCGCTATGCAATTGGTCAATCTGCGGTCCGTAACTTGCTATACGGACCAAAATTTCAAAGAAAATGCTCATTTTGGAGCTCTAAATCTCTTTACCTTGGAAAAAAACGTTGAAATTAAGTTACAAGACGTCTATCAACCTTGAGGGCTTAGATTTTGACTTTGTCCCTCAACATTTTAAACCGTGTGTTTATTTGTGCACGAAGGCGATGATCGAAGAGGATTCTAGTCAGTGTTTGAAAATTTTGTCGTAGTACACAGTTAAGAAGACGAAAATCGACTGGCAGAGATTCGAGGTGTCACATCTCGAATCTCTACCAGAATTTGCAAAGTTTGCCTAGGAGAAAATGAGTAATTTCTTCGACAAATATGATAACAAACATGCCTGCATCCGAGCATCTTGACGAGCTTCTTTGTCATTTGCAGTGTTTTTCCAAAGACGAGCGAAAGAAAGATAGAAGCGACTCCGAGCCAGACACAATGTCCAGTTTTCAAAAGACTCCAGCGTCACATTGGCAAGTGAATTTTAATTTTACAGTGCTCTTAGTTTTGACCGAATATACTTAAACTATGTCTGTAAACCCTGAGGACTGGGATTTTGACTTTGCCTTTCCAGATTTTAACCTAGCTTTGTTTGAACGCGAACGAAGCGGATGTAGAAACTGAATCGTAACCTTTCCGTGGAAGAAAAGATGGTCCGTGTTTGAAAATTTTAACGCAGATTACGCTTGAACCCCTTGAAGACGAGACTGAACTGGCAGAAATTCGAGACGTTTTCACCAAAAAATTAACGAGCGAATCTTCGACGATGACAACAAACTTACCTTGAATAATGCATCAGTCAATTCCACCTGCGCTTAGCCCCCCCACCCCCGAGGCTGACCCCCGGGCATTAGCATTTATTTTGCCTTGGATGGCAAATTCCCGGGGGTGGGGACTCTTGAGCTGTCAAATCCCCCGGGGTGGGGACGAAAAAAGAGGGCAAATACCCCGTCCTCCGTCAACACTGCAACATTTTTCATTGTTCGCACAGTCGAATAGTGCCGTTTTAAGCATTTTCATGTGCGATTTTCAATGTGCGGTTTCAAT